TTTATAACATTTAGTTTTATTTAAACGCAATTTATTTGTGGAAAATTTAAAAATATATTGCAAGATTTTTCGTGTCTTTTCAAAAAGAAAACGTTCCAAAGTTACACAGACGAGTCAAGTTGCAAGTCCCAATGTTCTAGTCAAAGTATGTTGTTCCGTTCAGCCCGTCTTATTCCAAATTATCAGTAATTATAAAAATAGGAGAAATAAAGTTTGATCGTGATGAAAACATTACCGGCATAATTGTCGGATTATCTAACTTCGAAATCAGAGATCCTGGGATGACGCCGGAGTGGCGAGCGGGTGGAAAGTGAATGTAGAACGAGAAAGTGACCTCTTCGTTTTTAAGGTCGGATCCAGGAAAGTGTGTTAGCCACGGACGGTATTTTCCTTTATTGTAATTGACTTCGATTTGGATGTACATCTGTGAGCGGTATCATTTCTTCTGTCGAGAGGTCAGACAGAAAATGTTTTGATTTGTAAAGTGCTACGCAGCCTGGCAAATCGGCTTTGCTGGTTCCTTCACTTTCTTTTTTCGCAGTCACTAATAAATTAATAACTTAGGCTACACGCTTTTTCAAGGCGTAATTATAATATATATATATATGNATTTATATTGTCGAGCTTATATTTTTTTTTTACTTTTAATCTTCCGATTATATTATTATTTCATAATAAGAAGAAAAGGAAAAAAAGCTCAGCTTACATAAACATAATAAATAATAACATAATATAAAACATAATACCTTGATTTCATCATTTAGAAGTTTCTATCGTTACATTAGACAATACTTGAAGTAAACAAAATGATTTATCTAAATAAACTGAACAATAAAATTACTTTCAAAATAGACATACAATCGATAAAATTATAGATAAGTACGTAAAATCATAGATACATAGGCGCGAACAGGAGGATAGATTGAGATATAAAGAACTGACGATTAAGAAAGAAAGAAAGAGAAAAAAATAGTGACTGATGGGCATGATATCATAGATAGGAGGATAGATGACAAAATAAACTGACAATAAATTAAGATAAAATGATATATAGATAACAATATAAATGTATAGAATGAATAGAAAGATAGGTAAACCTATAAAGAAAGAGGAGTAAATAAAAATAACAATTTAATAATAAAGTAAATTATTAAAGTGAGAATAAATTAAACTTATAAGTTATTAAATTCATTAGATTTTGTGGTCCGCTTAGCCAAATAACATCTTTCCATTAATTAATCTTTATGTTGTTATTGGTTGAGATAAAATAGTCAGTAGAAATGGTGGATGAAGGAGTGAGTGCGGTGTTCAATCCTTTAAAAAAAAAGATAGTTCCTACTCACAGTAAGTTGTTTTCCAACGTCCGAATTTCGAGCCCCTTAGCTTCGAACAATTTCTACAACCTGATGATGAGCTAAGGGGCTCGAAATCCGGATCGATGGAAAACAACTTACTGTGAGTATATATCTGGGTACCAAAAAAGAATGGGAAAGAAAGGGAAATAACTCCTTTAAAAATGGCACCATCCTCTGGTACACAGATGGATCTAGAACACAAGAAGGTACGGGGGCAGGAGTATTTGGACCCGGAACCAAAATTCCATCTACATTTACATCTACTGTGAGTAGGAACTATCTTGTTTTAAAAAAAGATTAAAAAAGTCAGCGTCACGAGCGGGATTCGAACCCATGACCTTCGGCTAAATACGCCGCTACTGTAGCTCGGATACTAACTTCCATCTCAACTCAACCTGTCCGAATGGATCGAAGTCACGATAGTTCAAGTGGTAGAGCAGCGGCGTATTCAGCCGAAAATCGTGGGTTCGAATCCCGCTCGTGACGATGACTTTCTTATCTCAACCAATACCTTACATAAAGATTAATTAATTGAAAAATGTTATTTGGCCTACGAGGACTACGAAATCTAATGAATTTAATAAGTTAAATGAAGTATATCTTCACTAAAGCTTTCCGTGGCCATGTCATTTGTCGCGAAGAATCAATAGATCTTTTAGATTACACGACATTTGAAAAAGTGGCAAAAAGGAGGGAAAATTCGAAAGGTTGGGTTCAGATGGGAAGTTAGTGTCTGAGTGTATCGAAGTCACGATAGCTCAAGTGGTAGAGCATATTTAGCCGAATGTCGTGAGTTCGAATCCCGCTCATGACGCTGACTTTTTTATCTCAACCAATACCTTACATAAAGATTAACTTATAAGTTATGTATATTATTATTGAATTATTGAGCCTATTATTATTGAATAACTTCGCAAAAATAAATAGACTTTGGCTAAGTACTGCTAAAGTTAAATAATTATATTATTTTATAATAATGCAAGTTATACTACAAAATTAGATATAGATTTTTCTTAACACATTTAAAAATTAGATGATTAGGAACTGGAAGGGAGAGAGAACGAGAAAAGGAGAATGAGAGTAAAAAGGGGCTGAGAGATATTAATTATATAAATAGTTTGATAAAGAAACACAACGTGAAATAATGTTAAAGGAGATTAAACGGGTAAAAGGAACGGGGGGGAAAGGGAAAATAGAAAAAGAAAGAACGAGGGTGTGAGTAAGTGAAATATAAATGTACAAAGATAGATATTGGTATACGATGAATATATAAACTAAAGAAATACAAAAGCAATGTAATATTATATATATGTAGGGAATGTAAATGTAATTTATTAGCGTGATTGGAAGGGTTTATTCCCAACCCCGAGTACTCTTTGGTGGTGTGAATGCTAACTAGACTGTCATGTTTCTGTGATTTGTGTTTGTTATTTGCCTTATTTTATCCATAATTGGCGAGGCCCTGAGGTACCAAGAGGCCAGCAATAGGACAAAGAAAAGAGGGAGTTGGTTGCTGTTGTACTGTAATGTACGAAACTTAGTTGAAGAAACAAAACAAAGAAATTAAGATTAATACTACAGAAAGATAAGAAAAGAAATGTCAAGCTAAGGAAGAGAGGGCCGGCGATGACCAATTAGTTTGCCGGCTCTAAAACTAAAACAAAACTTCTTATGCAAGGTTTTGTTTGAAATGAAAAAGTTAGTGTCATGAGCGGGATTCGACCCACGACCTTCGGCTCAATGGGGGTGCAGTGGGTTCGAATCCCGCTCGTGACACTGACTTTTTCATTTCAAACAAAATCTTACGTTTCACTTGACGACTGTCCGTAGATAAAGAGAGAGGAATAGAGAAAGTATGAGTGTTCGAAGAAAAAAAATAGAAATTATAATTGTAAATAGATAAAAACAGTATAATATACATAATAAACAAATGTCAATGTCTTCTGAATTTTCTTATATTTTTGGACTTTTAATGCCATCAGATTTTTATTGCAGATGTTCAAAGTTTATTACATTTTTATAAAACCACCTTTTTCAGTTTCAAAAACAATTTTTAATTGAGATAGTTCAGCGATGTAGCACGCGTGTGCTTGGAAATAATAACACACATCGAACGTCCACGGAGTCAAAAAGCGTGACTGTTAATGAATCACCGACTTTTAGCTGTAATTGCAGTCAATTTGTAATTAAAGACTTGGGAGGCTCTTGTCACGACATTTGGCGTTTTTCAGTTTTTCCCGTCGTAATGAATGCAGACTCCAAAATAGAGAAAACTAGATCTTCCTCTTTTCACGACTCCCGCCAAGGCTCGTTGTTAAATTGATTTTTTAATATTACAAATGATTTAAAATTAAAATTTTGAAACAGACAGTTAACAGAGTGTGAGATTAACGGTCATAAGCAGACTTTCTCATTATCTGAACTACTCGCCTTTTATTTAGATTGATGCAAGAACCCAAAAGAATTTCGATTTTGTATCCACCTCCATTTTCTTTATTGTAAGGATAGACGTATTGAACTTTTACCTTCCATAGACTTAAAAGTTATTTTTTTTAATATGTGGTGATTAGTGACCGTTAATCGATAATTATTCAGAAATCGTGAGATGCGGTCTGGTGTGATGTAGTTATCAGAAAAAGGGCACTCTCAGCACGACACGCAAGAATGGCACAATTACACGGAAGACAAACACTTTGAGCCCTGAAGATGATCTCAAAAGATCGAAACGTTGGCACGATAAAGAAAATATTTTTCTTTACCTACATCACACCAGACCGCATCTCACGATTTCTGAATAATAATTTTTTTAAATTTACATTATTTTATTGTGCTAACTACAAGTTGTACACTGCTCCACAAAAAGGATTAAGAGAGAGTAAAAGAGAGAGTGCATCAGAGAGAGAGAGAAGAAGAGAGTGAGAGAGTAAGAGAAAGAGAGAGAGAGAATGTGAGAGAGAGTGTGTGAGAGAAAGGTTGAGAGAGAGAGAGAGAAGAGATTGAGAGAGAGAGAGAGAGAGGGTGGAGAGAGAGAAAAGAAGAGAGTGTGAGATTGATTGATTAAACGTTTTATTTAATTACGCAAAGTTAGGTCTCGTGGACCCTTCTTCCACTTAACGTGAGTAGTACATTTTACAATAAACATACATTTTATGAAGACTCTTTTGTTTAGAGAATGAAAAAACACATAATATAAACCATAATATTAATTAATTTATGATTCCAACATTTTATGATGGTTTTTGAGAGAGGGAATGAGGGAGATGTGTGTGTGTATGTGTAGAGAGAGAGAGAGAGAGAGAGAGAGAGAGAGAGAGAGAGAGAGAGAGAGAGAGAGAGAGGGTGGAGAGAGAGAAAAGAAGAGAGTGTGAGATTGATTGATTAAACGTTTTATTTAATTACGCAAAGTTAGGTCTCGTGGACCCTTCTTCCACTTAACGTGAGTAGTACATTTTACAATAAACATACATTTTATGAAGACTCTTTTGTTTAGAGAATGAAAAAACACATAATATAAACCATAATATTAATTAATTTATGATTCCAAGATTTTATGATGGTTTTTGAGAGAGAGAGAGAGAGAGAGAGAGAGAGAGAGAGAGAGAGTGAGAGAGAGAGAGAGAGAGATAATACAATTATATAAATAGTTACTAGAAAGCATAAAATTATAAAAAAATATTAGTTGCGTTCTTGTCTTAATCGATGGACGAAGAAGGACTTTGCGGTACTTAATTGTAGAGGTCCTGAAAGAGGGGGTTGTGGACGTGGAGAGGATGAAATCCAGCACCTACCCGGGGACCGGGACAGTCGTGTGTCAGTAACCATGAAGTTGAGATGGATCATCGTCGTGGCCGGTTTCGTGTGCCAGATCGGCTGCACGTCCATCCGGCCGAACTTCCGGCCCCAGGAGTCGTCCGGAGACGGGAAGATCCAGGGTGAAATCGTCGTCAGTTCGTCGGCGATTTCCGTGAAAGGTCCTCCGAAGGGATTCCCACTGATCAAGGAGCAGGAGAGGAAACAGAGGAGCGTGGACGAGGCCGAACGGGCCGTCGGACGGAAAAAGAGCGGCGGTTGGTCCAAGATGATGAAGAAGATGTGGCCTTACATGCTCGTGCCGGCTATGATGAGCATGGGCTACGCCCCTTTCATGCTCGCCTCGCTCAAAATGTTCGTCATGAATGCCGTCATGATCAACATGATGGCTCTAAACGCTGCGATATTCCTCACACTCAGAAACATGGTCTTCGGTCCGAGGAACGGCGAGCACATACGCTACTACAACTTGGGATATAAGAAAAAGACACACCATCACCATCACAGGTGATGATCTATCGACAAGCCTTCTCTCGATAAGGCCCAGCTTTTATTTCTTTAATTTCACCCTCGTCATGCGAAATACGCCAAAATAGCAGACATCCAACTAGACACCAAAGAGTACGTCGTAGTGTGTGAATAAAGTGTGAAACAAGTACGATGCGGTATATCAAGTTTTAATCTAAAACAATGTAAAACGTGGCTGTGTTCATTTTATTTATTTATTTTAGCTGTAATAAACAACAATATCCTAAACTCAGGTCTGTATTGTAAGCTTTGTTAATAAATTATTTATTGTTTAAATATTTTTCTTTTTTATAAAATCATCGGCTCCTTAACAAAAAATATTGGAAAATTGTAAACCGGTGTGACAATTTCCGATGTAAATTAATAAAATTTAAAAAAATCACTCAGTCTAGCTTAAAATTTTAATAATCAATTTAAATCTAATCTTTTGTTCGACTTTTATGAATAAAAGCCCTAGCCGTCTAAGATTTACTTATGAGCAAATTATTGGTTTCTTCTATACAAAAGAAATTTATCTCTCTCACAAAAGTATTTATTTATCTATTGTAATTTCTTTGATTGAAAATTCTTGGTTTAAGAAAAGTAGATCTTATTTATAAATGCGTGTGAAAAGTTTTATCTGGTCAAAAATAAATTTCAAAACAAATCTATTATAATATCTTTGCGGTTTTTAAACACGACATTCACAAGTATAATTTTGCCTTTTTTCAAAATATGCATTATTTAACTGAGTATATAATTATGTTTTCTTCTTTCCTTTATTTAGTTGTTTTTCCTTTTTATTTTCTGGAAGTGGCGAGGATAATGATGAGTATATAATAAGTATATAATAGTAAAAGTCTGTTTTCTTAGAGAGTTTAAAATTTATGTTAATTTCCTGTTCCGTTGTATTTTTCTCCTCAAATTTCTAACATTTTTCACGTACTCAATTATGCTCTAAAAAAGATATGTTGGAGCCAGTGGAAAATTGGGCCAATCGACTCACATTCTCTCTAAACTAACGAGGCTTGATGTTATTTCGTTCTTTTGCTTTCTCACTTTAATCTGCTCTCCTAGATCTAATGAAAGTGCGTTAAAAAAACCTTTGTGAGAGAGAGTGTGTGAGAGAGAGAGAGAACTAAATATATAGATATATAGATAGATTGATGGAGGGATTGATTGACTGACTGACTGACAGCAAGAGAGTGAGAGAGAAAGAGAGAGAGCAAGAAAGAGGGATGAGTAAGAAAGATTGAGACAAAGAGACAAATATAAACAAAAAGCGAGACGGATTGATTATCGAAATAAAATAATTTAGTACAAATTACGGACAATAATGTTCTTATTATGGATGATTATAGTTTTATATTAAAAAATCTGTCAGTGTGAGAGAAGGACGGAGAGAAAAAGAAAGTGAAGCTTGATGTGAAATGTATAAGATGTAGAATAGTAAACAAAGAGTAAAATAAAGTTACAGACGGAAAGATTTAAAAAGAAATTGAACGATCAAAAAAAAAGACAGTGATGGATAGATAATACATATTGCGACGGGCAGTTATCGGTATTGATGAGATAGGAATAATTATATACAGAAAACAAAGGAGAAAGAGCGAAAGAAAGAAATAGTGAAAAATTGTTATAGTCAGTAATAATGTTATAAAAACAGATTCCTAGGACATCTTAAATATAGTGGAAAAACGGGTCAATCGACCCACATCCACCGTCGACTAAGGAGGCTGTTTTTTATATTTTTTGTCCCTACAATTCTTATCTATTAAAACTGCGTTTAAAAGACTAGAATTGTCAGTGAAAAAGAACCCATCAGTCCATAATAAATATTTTTAATATTTAATCCGTGACGTTTATACTTTTTATTATTTGTACCAAAAAAATTGTCACGTCTTTTTAGTTTTATGGTATAACAGACCAAAAATGTCGAACTATTCTATTTAGTTGTTCTAGTCTGGAACCGAGCCTTTGATGAAAGTGACTGTTTTTACAACTTTATTCCATTGACCCGATTGTATTTCCTTGCACTGCCGGTCAATAAGACCAACTTTTGTAAAAAAGGAAAATAACCGAAAATTTGCATGTGACACTTTAGACTTGAAAATTTAGAGTTTTTCTGAAAATGGCCAAACCTATCACTAAAAGCATGTTCGACCTCTGAACAACATTGCGTTTCGCCAAGATGACGAGTTCGAGGATTGTTTTAAAATTTATTGTTCTGAAGAAAGTGAAGAAAAATTGACTTAATAAGCAAACCCGCTGCAGGTAATAAAATACCATTAACTGCCATTAACAGTTTTTTCTCTTACACCTCCATAATTTGGTGTATCAAAAAAATTATACTCAATATGTAATCAGAAAGCTGCTCAGAAACCGAATCTCTTTAGAAATCTGGGCCAATCATAAGTGCCCGCTCACGTGAATGCGTGGTTGCGACCTCATTGAAATTTTCCTCGAGATCATTCTCATATCTTTACTTTCCCAACGTTCCTAAATTCAACTCGAGTATACTTTATTTATCATTTATTTTTACTTTTTTCTTTCTTATTAGTACAATGGGACAAAACAGGCGACTAAAACTGGCCTCCAAGTTTTAATTGGGTCGTAAGTTAAATGATAGAAAATTTTTGTAATATATATATTCATTTTTTTATGAATCAGAGACCTCTCCGTTACGGTCGCTAAAGACCATTGACCATTACGGTTATTGCCCCAAACCTAATTTCCTCGGAGACGCAATTTACGACCTGATTGTATACATAATTAACTTCTATATGCAACAAATTCTCCTTTGAATTATTTTCTACAAAATATAAATTGATGAAAGTTTGAATGGCAAATCTTCAAAGCTGAACTATTTAGTTTTTCTACTATAGTTCGAATAAAAACCGTAAAGAAGTATTAAATTGTTTCTAAGACACATTTCAAATTTCCTACTTTCTTTGAGTTTCTAATATTCCTTTTTTTTAAGTTTCAATGTAATATATTTAAAGTTAATGTCAAGTTTTGGAAGGGAAAAAGCATTTAGCGTAACATCGGCTGTAGATGATCTGTCATTCATAGATCAAACTTCTGTCAACAAGGAAAAACAACAAAAGGAAGTTTCGCAGTAATAAAATCCAAATCTTCAAAGCTGAACTGCGAAGTTTTTCTACTGTAGCTCAAGTAAAAACCGTAAAAAAGGGAGGCTTTTACAGGATTGGCATTTGAGGATCTTTAGCCCCGCCATTTTACAGGTTTTTTCTCAGATATTTTTCTTCTTCGGCTGGCCACTGTTAATGGAATCATTCAACCGCGTTCAACCGAAGTTCGTTTATCGTACTCCAATTCTTTTGACATTTCCTTTGAAAGTACGTCCGCCGTCTTATTCGTACTGCCATGAAATTTAATACATATTTTATTTTTGCAATGCATTGTAAATACATATTCTAAGTAAGAATACGCTGTCTTTCTTTTTGTATTTAACGGTACACAAGCCCTACTTTTACAAAAATATTAAAGCAAAGAAGATACAAATTACGGTTGAAATTGACATGGTCGGTCCCAGAATGTTAATTAATTGGTTTCAAAGTAGAGCAATTTTTATCTAATTCTTTTGTCCTTTCTTGTGAACCAGTTTTATTTAATATACTGAAGAGACGTGATGGATCCAATAAATTAAAGCTTCAACAAAAATGTTCAAATAACTTATATTTAGCTAAACAAAAATTATGATAAAAAATACAAGAGAGAGGAAGAGAGAGAGAGAGAGAGAGTAAGAAAGAAAACAAAATAGGTAGATAGATAGATAGATAGATAGATGGATAGATAGATAGATAGATAGCTAGATAGATAGATAGATGGATAGATAGATAGATAGATAGATAGATAGATAGATAGATAGATAGATAGATAGATAGATAGATAGATAGATAGATAGATAGATAGATANAGAAGGAGAGAGAGAGAGAGAAAGAGAGAGAGAGAGAAGAGAGAGAGAGAGAGAGAGAGAGAGAGAGAAAGAGAGAGAGAGAGAGAGAGAGAGAGAGAGAGAGAGAGAGAGAGAGAGAGAGAATAGATATTTAGACATAGAGTGATAATGGAGGGCGAAATAGAGAAGAGATAGATAGATAGGTGGGTAGGTAGAAAGAGAGAAAAAGAGAGGGAGAGACAGAGTAAGAAAAAAAAGCAAGATGGCACATAGATATGTAGAGATAGAGTGAGAATGGAGGGCGAGATAGAGAATAGATAGATAGGTAGAAAAAGAGAGAGAGAGAGAAAGAGAGAGAGAGAGAGAGAGAGAGAGCGAGAATAGATATTTAGACATAGAGTGATAATGGAGGGTGAGATAGAGAAGAGATAGATAGGTAGAAAAAGAGAGAAAAAGAGAGGGAGAGACAGAGTAAGAAAAAAAAGCAAGATGGCACATAGATATGTAGAGATAGAGTGAGAATGGAGGGCGAGAAAGAGAATAGATAGATAGGTAGAAAAAGAGAGAGAGAGAGAGAGAGAGAGAATAGATATTTAGACATAGAGTGATAATGGAGGGTGAGATAGAGAAGAGATAGATAGGTAGAAAAAGAGAGAAAAAGAGAAGGTGGGAAAGAGAGAGAGAGAGATGAAGAGAGAGAGGGGGAAGATACAGAGAGTGACAGAGAAAAAAATAATTGATAATAAATAACAAATAATAATGTGTGGTGATTAGTGACCGTTAGTCTATGGTTATTCGGAAATCGTGAGATGCGGTCTGGGTAGGTTTCAGGATAATAATAATTTTGATTGATTGATCGATCGATTGATTGAGAAAGAGAGAGGGAGTGAGTGAGAAAGTGAGAGAATTCATTAAAAAATGTACATAAACTAGATATGTAAGTGATCCATACAGGGGTTGACCGACTTTATTTTCATGTAAAGCTTAAAATAAGCATTTTAAATGCATGAACGTGGCATCCTCTATCCAGAATTACTGCTACAGCGCTTATGAACACAAATTGCTATATGTTTTCAAAATGGAATGATTATCATGATTACTGTTGTGCTTTCTATGTTTACAAATGAAAATATAAATGATTTGCCAGGTATATCAGAAATCATTCTAAGTCACATTAGAAAAGTTCATCATGGGATTTAGCAAATGTTGGACCTCCTTGTCCGTTAAAATAAATAAATTGTTGTACAAACGAGTAGTGCGTGGTTATTCAAACCATATACATCCACAACCTCTTTCATCCTTTTTAAGCATTTAGGCCATTCCTTTTGCTTCTTTAATCCTCTGGGTGAGCAGGCAAACCTTTTACTCCTACTTGAACTGTGATGGCTCCTAAATTGTTGCAACCAAATATTTTTCAACTGTGTACCTTGGAAATCGAATGCAAATGAAACTTGCTAAGCATGTAATGCTTGGTAACACCGGTATCAATTGATTAAACAATTCAATTTGAGAGAACTTTTCAAAGTAAGAGAAGAAAAGTTGTTTTGTTTCCCCCGACTAAGTAATATTGTTTTGTTTAAATTAACTTAAATGTCATAATTGTGTTATCACTGATATTCAATGATTGAAGTATTTTTCATATTTATATGTGTTTTGTCAATTTTTTTTGCTCCCTCTCAGTTAACTTCTGACAGAAGGACAAATAAAGATTCGTAAAGCTAATAAATTTTCTTGATTTAAATGAACTGTGTAATGCAGACATCACAATATAACTGGTATTTATAACTTATAAACTTAAAACCTTTTTTTAACCACCAAACAAAATATTTGGAAGTTTTCTTTCATTTCATAATTTAAAAAAAAATGTTAACTCTAAAAGCTGATTTATTTGTTTGTTTTTTATAATTAAGAACTACCAAGCTATTACCATGGTTACCCATCACAATTGTTGGCTTTCAATGTTGTGCTAGTTAAACGTTTAGGCTCATTCAAAATGAAGAGATTGGTTGTCCAGAATAAAGAGACAGGTCGTAGGAGCAAAGTCGTAGTATTTGATCACTGCCAATGGGAGAAAATACAGAACCGAGTGTCCAAGACGGTCGACCAAGCCATAGAAACAGCGGTCGCTGCCTTAGAAAAGGAAGAGCGAAGACAAAAATCAAAAGAGATGGCAGCAACTTGGGAAAATACTTTTGTGGTATGTTGTATATAAACTCATGCGTATCTGGTATGACATAGAAAAATAAACAAAAGCATTTTATTTTCTGAATATTATTTTTTCTTAACACAAAATATATATTTTGGTATAGAATCTTCGAAAAAGACGGTTCCAAGAAAGACAGCAGAGATTGGATAAAGAAATGGCTGAAATTCAGGTAAAATATGATGCCATGAAGAAAGAGCAAGAAGAAATCAAAATGGAGATAAAGAGAAAGGCGAAAGAGATCTTGTTCGAACAACGTGATTCAACAAAACTGTTGCGCAGCGCTCAGAAACTGAGTGCGGTAAATTTTTCAAAATATCAAAGATAAATTACTTCTTTTCACTCGGACCCTCTGTAGGTTTATCACGAAAGAGCTGCTCAGATCGAATTCGCGAGGAAGCTCAAAGAAGAACAAAAAGCTGAAGAGGCAGAAGAAGTTAGAAGGATATACGAAGATGTCGCTCTGTACCACAAAGAAGAAGAGGAAAAGAAAAAGAAGGAATTGGAAGAAAAACAAAAGAAAAAAGAAGATTACATTGCCCTGTAAGTGAGAGACAAAAATTTAATTACATTATACAACTATGCAATATTTAACATATTTATTCGCTTAAAAGACTGAAACAAATGGAATTGGAGAAGAAAAAAGAAAAAGAATATCTTCTAAATGGAGGAATGGATGAATTGAAGTTAATGAAAGAAGAACTTGAGCAGATCCGGAAAAATGAAAAAGAAGAGGTAAAACAGTAGCAAGAGAAGAGAGAGAGAGAGAGAGTGAGAGAGCGAGAGAGAGTGAGACAGAAAAAAGAGAGTGTGAAATTTAGTACCCATTATTGCTTATTATAATAGTATGTCTGGGGGGAAAAATTAAATCCAATAAATTAATTTTTAATAAAATAAATTATATATATAATAAATTAACTAATTAAATCTAATTAATTGTAAACTAATTAAAATAAATTTATATATACATCAACCATAAATAAAAATCAATCAAAACATAAACTAGTACAGTATTATCAATGATTTATACATTATTTTAATCATTAAAACCATTATATTTCAGTTGGAAAGAAAGAAGAAGCTTTGCTTACAGTATATGGAAGATGGTATAAACTATTACAGAAAGTACCATGCCGCTATGTTGGCCGATGATAAGGAGGAAGACATGGCAATCGCTATCATTGCAAAAGGAAAAGCAGATATCGGTGAAAAGAGAAGACTTAAGGAAGAGGAGGTAAGATGATAATAATTTACTTGTGAAATTTTAGTTAAAAACTGATTTCCTCTTTGTTATTCAAGTCAGTAAGACAAAATATTGAGAGGCAACAGAGGGTAGCGAATAATTTAGCAGTGCTCATCTCTAAAAAGCAAACAGATGAAGAAGAATGCTATCAAAGAGCAGTTGCTGAAAAAGATGCATTGTAACTTAATTTTTGTTTATAAATTACGATAGAAGTATTTTTTAATTATTTTTTATTTTCAAGATGGGAAAAGGCAGAAGCAGACCGGATAGCAAAGGCGCAAAAACTTAGAAAGGAGAGGATCGAAGCACACTTAGCTTACCTGAAAGAAAATTCAGCAAACAAAGAGCAAGAGCACGAGCTTTTCAAATGGGCAGTGCTACAGCGCCTCGCTAACACAGAACAAACCAAGACATGTGAAGACGAGTTGAAAAGGAAGAAACTCAAACGGATTTTAGTCTGCCAGGATGCCAATAGGAATTTGATTGTGATTATCTAGCTACACCTAAAGATAAATTATTTTATGTTTTAAATGTGTATTTTCCTTAGAAAGAGTTAAATAAAAAAATAGCAAGGGAAAAACAAGAAGATATCAATTCAGTGAAACGAGCTATCGATCTTTGGCTTCTAGAAGACAAAGAATTCTTGGAGTTTGCTGAAAAAATCAAAGAAGAATGCAAAGCAAGAGGCCAGAATACATATCCTATTGATGTTGCAATACTTGTAATATATCTTCTTTTTTTTTATTTCAAAAAATAAAAATAAATAATTATGAATAAATTTGTTCCAGCACTACAAAACTTCAAACGGGCTTGTTTACCAAAAGAGGGGTGTAGGTCTAGTCGAAGTCACTCCGACGTTCCCATTGGACTACAAAGTAGACAGAGCTCCACCAAGAAGTAAACTGACACAAGAATTTATAAACGAATCGAAAAGACGGGCGGAAATAAAAGAACGACGCAGAAATCTAGATCCCACACTACGTTTGATTGAAAATAAACTGAATGAGTGTCTTTGTGTAAAGACAGGTTGCAATGGGCTAGATGTTGATGCTAAACAAAAATAAAATTAAATTGCTGGAAAATTCAACAAATATCATGAGCATATTTATTAAATATGAAGGATAAAAGAATTAGTGGTAATTTGCATGATTTACAATGAACCCTTACATTTACTATGACGCACATTATGAGATATTCTTGGGCACAGCAAATAGTCAAAATTATTTAAACAAATGAACAATTTTTATTTTTAATTTTTATGCAAAGACGGTTTACAAAAAAAAATTAGGGTCACGAGTAGGACTCAAACCCACAACCTTTGTTCTACTCCATACACGGTACTGGTTATGCCCGGGGTAAAATAGGATCTCAATTTAATTAATATTGAAATTTTTGACAAGAGAAAACTTTGACCTAAGGAAAGTACTAAAAATATATAGTACCAACATGTCGCCAAAGTCAAAAAGTGTTTTTTTTTCTCTGGCTTCTACACCCAAAAAACTAACACCAGATTGCCAAAAAAAAACAATATCACAATCAGAATATGCTGCAGGGATGCTTAGTGGTTCTGCCCTTTAAACAAATTGGAAATTAAAAGCGATAGATAATAATAAAACATTAATAAAAAAAGAAGGATCAGATCATATGAAATGTTTTGTAAGTTTATGTATATTCTATAGAAAAAGTGAGCTATTTTGACATCTGCTCTGTCTACAAAACATTTTATTCTTTGTTTTTAACAGCAAACAGTAAAAATTGCACTTTGATCATTTTATTTCCTCTAAGATTTTAAAAATATTTATCTTCTTTCTTAAACAATGACTTTTTACTTGACCATTGCAGATTTTTAGTACATTGATATTGTGTAATACAAGAGTTTATATATAAATAAAAATGATATTTGCTTTGTTAAACCAAGAATATGGTCGTCGTAAAAAAAAGAAGATGCACAAGGTATTTTTTAAATAATTTTTCTATGCTCTTAAGAGTCAATAAATTGTTTAACATTTATGATTATGATGACAAATTATTTAGCCTTCTATTACATTATTCTGTCAAAATGTAGAATAACCCCACCTGGTAGTGGAATGTGTAATAATTAAAAATAAGTATTACAATCGTGAAATTGTGTTGTTTGGTCAACTATTGGTGAGTGCTAAAATTCTTTCGAAAATAAGCACCACAGGAAAACCAGCGATTGTTGATTCAATATTTTAGTTATATTTTGTTATTCTAAACAATAATAACAATGAAAGCTGTTGTAACTTAATAATATAATAGAAATCTGAGAAACTTTAAACTTCAACAAAAGTTCTCCACACAATGGACATTTGTACTACCACAAAATAATTAGAATCACATAAAATTATGTTGATTCAACAGAAATTCAGTGAACAGTGAAAGCCAAAACTAGAACATAAAGGAAGACTAGAGATTATGTAATAAGTATTTTGTTGACCACTATTATCAGAAATGCAATAATATCATTTGTTCTGGTTTACATAAAAAAGAGAAAAAACGGATTTTGTAAGTTGTAAAAGAAATAATGTTAACTTTGTGAAATTTTGTTGATTAGCCAATAATTTGCCCTATCATCTAGAAAATCAAATGCCAAATGATTGCAAAAGATTAAGCTCTTTGCAATAACTGTTGCTTTAAAAGTCTTTACCCACAATTGAAACAGACTTCTCCATTTTATTTTTTGTTTAGGTAAAAAAAAGAAAACATGGATTTTTGATGTTTTTTGGTTTAAATCATAGAGACTACACAAAAACTAAGATTGTGGAGGACCATTGACAATTAAACAATGATCTAATTTAAACAACTGTCACTTTTTGATCTAATCATTGGAAACCTCTGCCACAAAATAAAAAAAATCTTGTCTCTTGTGTTTTACTTTTTATTTAAAAGAGAAAAAAAACCTGGATTTTGACGGGTTTGGGTTTTTACAAATTGCAGAGATGATGTATAAAAACTAAGATTAGGAGAATTATTGACAATTAAACAATGATCCAACCTAGACAACTGTTACTTTTTGGTCGAAATAGCAGAAACTTCTGCCACAAAAATTTAAAAAAAATGTTTCTTGTTTTATGTTTTATTTAAAAGAGAAAAAACTGTAAATTTATTTGATTTTATTTATTTTTTTAAATTACAGAGTCGATGATTAAGGAGACTCATTGACAACTGTTCATTGATTTAACCTAAAGAACTGTTAAATTCACTAATTTCGTGGTCTGCTTGACCAATTAATTAAGGTTTTTATCTCAACTAAACCTCTGACAAAAAAATAAATAATGAACTTAACAATTTAAGGTGAATAAAAGATAAGACATCTTCCCAATGTTTTTCTTGGCCACAACCAATTTCCATCATCAGTGGTGCTATAACATTAATAACCACCATTAGAACAAAAAGCAGAATTTGAATAATAATTAAACAATTAGAAATTTCTTTAAGATTGAAACTCTTTTAGAAGTTCTAGAACCTATCTAGAAAAAAACAAGGCACAAATATGTGAAATATTATTATGAAGGGTTGTGATTCGACAAACTTTAAGTTAGTCTTAAAATAACTAAATAACCAATTTTATGATTTTTAAATTAAAAAATTAATTTAACATTTTAAAGCCTGGCATGATAAGCCCGCATTTGCTGAATATTGGTAGCTGTGTAACAAAAGCTTACAGTAAGATTAGGGTTTATGTAAAAAATATTTTTCAAGAGCAAACAATTTAAGTTTCACTTTTTTAACTTCAACAACATGTTATACCTCATTGGCCAGCTTCAGGTTATTAACCAGCCTCCAGAGCTTTGCCAGCAGCTCCTTGTGTAGGATCTTGCTTGTGGTTTTTCTTGTCCTAGTTGCAGAACCTGTACCTACATAGACCTTCACAGAAATATAAAATATGTTCTGCTCTCCCCCTCTTCCTGGCAGTATCTGCACAGTATTTCTTCTGCTTTTTTAAGTGGCAGTGCCTGTCAGGAGTCCAACCAGAATCCTGGTTCGGTTGCTGTTGCCTTTCAGTAATTCTTTTGTAAGTTTTGCAGATGATCCTTTTATGAATTCTTACTTCTATTTTTTTTTTTTTTTTTTTTTTAATATAACATTTATATATATAAAAATGGTGTTTCATTCAGGTTATTATCAAAATAGTACAGATGGCAACATTAATTATCGAATAAATGTTTCAATAATTCTATGATAAATGGTCAATTTTGTAACTTAGCACTACCTTTCGTTCAGGCAAGTTCGTAAAAGCCCGGCAATTGCGTCATGACGTTCGCCCAGAATTGATCTTCAGAGTCAAAAGCTCAAAACGCGTATTTAACAGCTGTTCACTGTTTGGGCTGGTGGGATATTATTTATTGTTCTCGATTTTGACGTTTTCGAGTGTTCAACGACGAGTAGCCTTTCGCCGAGATTGGCAGGTACAGTTGAAATCGCACATTCCCAAGTGACCTGACAATCTGTTACCTCGAAGGGAGGTTTAAGGTAAAAAGAACACTGGCCGACGTCGCATCCAGGCCTCTACGCTTCACGTACCCCTTTTGCGAAAGACAAAACCACTTTTGTTTTTATTCCTAGTATTTATTTTATTTTTTAAAACAGTGATAAAACTTAATTTCTAAATAATTGTGATTACATCTAAACGGAGGGCTTTGATTTTCTTGAACTTGCTCCCTTTCTATTTTGTGGTTATTAATTATTATTACCGTTAATATTATCGACTTTCATTTCCATTTGTTAAAACAGTTTCGTTTTAATCTTACAACTGTTTATAAGGTCTGTACAGAATTTCCTTTTTTTTTTTTTTTTGGTTAGATTATAAATATTTTCAATTTCTTTCTTAAATTGCTAGCCTTTACAAAGTTTAGACATTTCATGATGCATGAACAAACTGCTTACAATTTTTATGACTTACATTTAATTATTTTTTATTTTATTTAACGTTGTATGATTGATAAAGAATTCACTTATTGAGCCTTTAGCCTGGAAAAAACGCCTAATGCCAGAACAAAAAGCCATTCACAATCTCTTCATTATAGCCGGTGGAAACCACTTGTCAAATTAGTGAACAGGACGTCCGAAAAGTCGTCATGGTGTCGAATGAAGACTACAATTTATATTGTCAAAGTAAATTCAAAGTGATTGTGATGACATTGTGTACTCGATTGATAGTTGTGTTAGGTCTGCAAGGTTATAGGTGCATGTAGTTATAATCATCCCTGATCATCTTGGTCCGACCATTCTTGCTTGTCTTGCCTGTAGGATCATTTCATAATCTTAAGTTTGGTGAAGTCGGTGAGATGAACATGTTTCTTGAGCATCTTTGATTGTCCTGGTCTGCTCTTCCAGCCTGAAGTCCATGCAGTCGAGAGGTACCCAGTTCAGTCCAAAAACACTAACGCTACCATGTCAGACAGCAAACAGCCATCAAAGCACTAAGTTCAAGCAACAGCTCAAAAATGGTGCTGAATTGCAAAACTGAACTAAATAGATTAGGTTTGCAAAATAAAACCTTTGCTGGCTCCAATGAGATAAGGGAGTAGAGGGAAACGAGCAAGTGGCCTATGTAAGGAAAGGGGCTGTACTAGGTTCTGAGCTCTTTTGTCGCATAGGGATGCATATTATTGAGAACCTCGGACAACGGGACAAAATGAAAATGAGGACAATCCAAGAATCTTGTAGCAAATTTTGGAAGGAAAGAAAAACAGAATGCTTGAAAGGAAGCAGGAAAAACTTTGATTTTTAACAGGACACTGCAGACTGAATGGGCATCTGAAAACGATATAACAACACGGGAGGTGCAAATTCTGCAAAGAAAGAGAGGAGACAACACCTACTAACAACATATGGTGCAACATTTGCCTGCAGAAGCAAGTGGTTTGGGATGTACAACATAACTGTAGAAGAAATTCAACCACTGAAACCAGTCCTACTAATCACATTTCCTTGAGAAACTAGCACTCGTCGATGTGCTATAAGTACAGAATGGGGGGGACACAATAGCTCTTAAACGGTGCAGTATATTGTTACACACCCCAAAAAATTACATCTACATCCTAGTCTGCTCATTTTGACTTATTTTGTCTGTGTTACACATTTTAGCACTTTGCCATCTGCATGGTCTGTCTGTTGTTCTGCAATCTTGAAATTATATCATCTATTATTTGTTTGCTTTTATATAAAACGTAAGCTTTTTCCATGGAGTGATAAATCGTTTTGTTACCAATTGTTTAGTCCGACTATCCTTACTGGTTTGATCTATCGTATTCAGGATGTTATCATCGTCTGGGTTTGACGAAGAAAGAGTAAATATAGAAAAGGTTAATCACCTTCTCCAATCCTGACACATTTCACAACTTTTTTTTCCTAAATTTAACTTCTTTTGCTAAACTCTTTGTTGGGGAAAAACAATAATCGATAGAACTTGTTTTTATCTTGCTACTTATCAAAATATGTTATCTTTCTGTACAAACAATTTTTTTTTTGGTGGATTGACTTTCTAAACAAATATAAATAAATCCTCAAAAATTTGCTAAATTGGATACTTCAATATTCACATCCTTACATGTGTGGAAACTTAGTTTTTATACTTTTCATTATTTTCAGTTATGTTGTAAGGACATTTCAGGCCTTTTTTAACAATTATAAATAATTTTGTTTACTTATTCAATTTGTATTTATTGTTTGTTGTTTTAACTTTCAGCGTACAGTTATGCAAGGATTGATGTTTAAGTTTGGTGAGCGGAGAGACGACTGGAGATGCTGTTTTTGTTGTCATGTCAGAACAGCAACCATATTTCTCGGAGTCTGGCATTTGGTAAATTTAATATTCTGTTTGTCATGTTGAAATAACGAAATTTAATAATTTATTTTATTTAAGATGCTTCATGTGCTTACACTGTCTGTAATTGCCGTCATACTCCGTCACCCAGAAATGATGAATGAACAAAACTCACCCGGGACGAGCATACCTCTGCCGATGCCAACACCTCAGAGTAGTTCGGGTGTGATTGATATAATAGATGAAAACTCATTGGGGTCTAACAGCGCTTTTAAAACTTCACAAGGCATAACGCACAAGATGTACGGATCTCGTAAGTATAGTGGTTTTTTTCTTCTTTTTTTTAACAGTTTGATGTTGGTCTTCAGAATTTAACGTTTTTCCAGAACATCTCAATGTCAGTGTGGTTGTGATGTTTTCAACGTTTGCTATAACATTGCTCATGGTTTATGGAGCGATAAAAGGAAAGCCTTCGTACTTGATGCCATTTTTCTGCTTGCAACTATTTGACTTCTGCATCGCCAGGTACATAAATGAAATCCTTGTCTTCAAACATTATCATTAAACTTCATAAGCATAAATGTATGTTTTTTTGTTTTGTTTTTTTCTAGCTTGACAGCTCTCAGCTATTTATGCTACTTGCCGGACATGCACAGGTTAGTCGCAGAAAGTCCTAAAATCCCGATGCAATCAGCCCTTCTCAAATTATCCCCGCAGTGTTTAGCGCTTGTTGTCCTTCTCACTTTTGGAACAGCAATGTTTGTCAAGGTAAAAATTTAAAATTAAATACAAAACATTTTTAACTAATTTGTTAATAAAATTAATCAATTTTTTAGACATATTTCATCGGGGTGGTCTGGAGCTGCTACAAATATTTGTCGCTGAGATTGGTTTCAACACAAAGGACCATACATTTTATTGATCAAGATGCACAGGATCTGCTCCCGGATTATGAGACTGCTTGCTCCAAATTTCCTCCGCCGCCTCCATCATACAATCAAGCTGTCCTGGAACACCAGGAACAGCAAAACCGTGACCCAGAAGCAATTCCAACCACCCAAATAATAAATCACCGTCCTTAAAAAGGTTGTCTTCATTTACTTTGGATATCATTCTTTTTTTCTTTTCTTTTTTCTTTTAAGATAATGTTTATTGTTTATGTTGATCTTATAACATTTACACATACACACACAAAAAATTGACTGCATTTTTTTAAAAATTTTTTTTTTTAATATTAATCCTGCTGAGTTTTACAAAATGTGTTAAAATAAGTTTAAATAAATAGTGTATATTTTATATTGGCAGGTATTAAAGTTATAAATTATATAAATAATTATTTTTTGTGTATATAATATATATTTACTTCAGTGGGAAAAGAAGGTGATTATTCCAGTTATGTTAAACTGTGAAGGAATTTAAATAAAAAATTAAATCTTCTAGAGTCTAAATAATGCACACCTTTCTCCATCTACAATGTAAAATACTTATTGATTGAAATTGTAATTGTAATGAACAATACAAACTTTAGAATTACTTAAAATATCGATGGTATATATAAAGTAGTTGTTAATCCTAATACATTTTGTAAAATTTTTGTCTTTATTATTGTCAATTTCAACTCGTTTTAACAAGCATGTCAAGTTTTACGTTGAATCGATGCTATATTTGCGTATTTTTTTATGCTGTTCGAACTTTTCTCTTTGGACGATTGCATAAACTTTGTTCAGTATTGTAGAGAATTTCGTTATATTTTCAAATTGGTTTGTAATTTATTAATAAAGGGATTTTTTTAGAATAGTAAGAGAAAAAAATGTATTTCTTTTATCCTTTTACATTACATTTTTGAAGTATAGAGAAATTTTTAAGTTACCTTGGCAAAATATTTACCAACTGAAAAGCATGATTTTAAGTATATTCTTTTTTTTTCTATTGATTTCACAATTCTCCACTACAAAAGAAAGTTGACGAAGAAGAAAATCAAAAAAATTATGTTTATGGTTTTCCATTAATATTACATACTGCAGCTTAAAAAGAATTTGTCAAAAGAGGTGAAAATTGATAGATTGTAGATGACCAACATACAGGTTTGTTATACGTACATGTACATCAAATTTCATAATAGAATTTGAAGTACCCTGTGTAGAAAATGACATAGAATTACTTAGCTATATCTGATGAGAGAATTTTAGAGGATATTAAAACTGAAAAAGCAAACCGATAAATTGTAAACTTGTTTTTCATATACATACATTATAATGTTTTAACATTTTAAAATGTTAAATATCTTAAAATCAGTCGTGGTTGAGAATCAGATTCAAAATTAATTCTAAGAATATTATTGTTTAAACTGGGACCAGGTAGCGGAATGGTTAGGGCGTCCGACTCATTTTTGCCACACTAGCTGTGCTGGTTATGAATCCCATGATTTTTGATTGATTTTAATATGAAAAATGTATTGTAACATCGTTTGACCTCTTGTCCATGACAAACTGGGTAGTTGGAAGTTAAGCCCCCTGTATGACAGGAATTATTACTGTGTAAGCAATTTTAATGGGTCAGTGAGTTTTTGGACCATCCAATTTGATCATCCCTGACACCAGAGATATAGAATTAGTTATCATTTTTCCAATGATTTGTGAGATTATTGTTTAAAAAAAAAATTAAGTGGGTATGAGATATTAATATTTATATACTGATTTTATTATCCGCCAACGGATTGGCTTTGTCAGATAAACTGATCAACAAAGTTTTTATTTACTTATCTATATTGATGTTGCTGATAAACAAAGCTAAAAAAATATATATTTAAAAAAAATACAGATTAGAAAGTACTTTTTTACAATAGAGATATTTGAAGTGATTGGTATTGAGTAGATAGTATAAAAAATGTATGTATAAGCTCTATTTTACTAGTCCAGAAACTTTTTAAAGCATAATTTTAATTCAGAAGTTACCCAGATACCAGTTTCTATCCCAGGATAAAGTTTCACAGTTGTCACTCAAAGTACAATTTTCTTCTGTTGGCATTTAATTATTTGTCAACATACTAAACAGCGAAAAATTGTAATTTCTAATTCTAAAAGACAGACGAATGTTATCAGAGACAACAAACATTAGTTGTTCATTTTTCATTGTTTAGTCTTCTTTCTATAGAGCATTTAGCAATTTCTATTTTGTTAAAGATTTGAGGATTTTGGTTTTAAGAACTGATTGAGTCTCTAACTCAGCCTCTAGCTGAAATGACCTAGCTGTTGATAGCCCAAGGAGCTCAAGCTCAGAGGCTGGACAGACAAAACCAGGATTTGACTCTGGACCTCTGTTGGTATGTGTATGATGATGATGTTGATGGATAGAAGTGGGGGTACCTCAAGCACTGCGGCCATTCGGCTTATCGTACTTTTTTAGTTCCTTAGTTTATTACAATCGACTCCATCCTTCTTTTAAGGAGTGCTAGGTCATTGACGTCTGCATTTTTTCCTGGGTTTTCTTTGTAATCCAGGTTATTTCTCCATTGAGCAGTGCTTCCCTTTTGAAGATCTTCCTCCTCAGTGCATGTTCTACAAATGAATCACCATTGAATACACCTATGTTGTGTAGATGTTTTTTTTTTTCAGATGTCAGCAACCGGTAAATAGTCCTATCACTCCTCTGAGTTTAGCCCACTTTAATTGTAGCAGTGAGTTTGCCAGTCTTGGTGATAGTATGTATGTGCAGATTTGAGCTTATTAAATCAGCATTCATGTATTTTTAAAATATAAGTATCGTAGATAGAGCTACTTTATTAGTATTTAGTAGGCACATATGTAATATTGATATAGACTCTATTATGAATGGTTATCTGCGTGTCTGTTTAGGAAGTAGATAAGGTCAAAGTTTAAAAGTGTTGTTAGGAAGTTATAAATGATTTTCCAGTATTAATGATTAATGATAATATCTCTCGGGAAGAGCGAACAGGAGACAGATTTTTGGTATTAGGGCGTGATTCTTAACTCAATGGCGTTCGGTGGTATTGCACATTTTGAGGCATTTCGTTATAAAACTGTTCGAAAGAAATTCATCAGAAAAGTATTTTTAATCTAATTTATTTAATGGCCCCCCGTCTCTACCTAAAAACAAATATAACGATAAACATTTAATGATGATCGACTGGTTTGGTGTACTTGACGTTAAAATCGGCACGATCTTTGTAACAAAAACGAAAAACTAAATTCAATTAAAATAATTTTTATACCATAAAAAATACATTTTTTCTGGAAAGCTGTATCAATTTATTATAATAAAAATGTGATTGGTTATTTATTTTTTTTTTCTTTATTGTCAAGCCGTTTAAGTCGTTTCAACATGGACGTCGACGCGATAAGACGAAGATTTTTCTCAATTAGCATCGTGTCGACATAACATCGATAATCCAGGAATTAAATTTTAGTTGTGGATTAGAACGAAGTTAATTTGCAAAAGTATTTATTTTTATTATTTTTTTTTTAAATTTTTGCAAATAGCGAACTGAAAAGGACGGCCTACGACCCAATTAATCACGTTTCAAACTGATTCGACGCCGGAAACTTGGCGAGATAAAGCTGCTGCTGACAATCCTTGGCATTCAGAGCCCTTGGCCTGGTGCTGTCAAGTGGCATCGGCTTGACACGGAGGCCGAGCTTGTGTTGGCGTGTTAAGCCGGCCTTAAAACTCGACACAACGTGCTTTATCGGGTCGAAATGGAAAAATATGCTATTTACAAACTCTTATTAAAAGCGGATCTTAAAATTCTCCAAAGACGTAGAAGTTCTATTAGATTGGATGTTATCCGTCCTTTGGACCGCACAATCTCGCTTGTTGCGTTTACTGTATCATGCCAAGGAAGTAGCCTTAGTCAATCATTTAGGAAAACTCTCCAATTACAATACAAATAATTTTTGCAGTTTCCAGTACTAATCCGGCTTTCGTAGAGTGAACAACTCTACTGTTTACGTAGATAATCCTAAACCGACATTACCTTTGTTCCCCTTTGATTACCATTTAAAAAAATTCTCCATAGCAAATTGGAATAGAGAATAGGAAAACACAGAAGAAAATAAACCAAGAGCTATAAAAAGCACAGTCAAGCCATGGTAAACGTCAAGCCAAAACAAACGAAGGGACGAAGTTGTAATATGCAGACTACGAATAGGTCACACTCACATAACACATGGCTATTTAATGTACCTCGGAACTCCCCCCTTTTGTCAATGTGGTGAAGTAACACATTTTGTCCCCGTCAAACAAATGTCCACCCCCAAGTTTTACTCCCTCATTCCTTCCCAATTATATTAGGGGATGACTAAAATTCCCTGTATAGTTATAGCAAATTTAAACAAAAAAAAATGATGTGTGTGTGTGTGTGTGTGTGTGTGTGTGTGTGTGTGTGTGTGTGTGTGTGTGTGTGTGTGTGTGTGTGTGTGTGTGTGTGTGTGAAACACAATAGTTAAATCAATTTAGTAATCAAATGGAGATTGGGGTGTCTGTGGGACCATTTTTGGGAGTCCCCTGCGTTCTGCTTCGTTGGGGTGCAGCCACTACTCTCTCCATAATACTAATCATGAAATAGCAGGCAAATAAATAATGTATGTGTATATCTATGAGTATTGATTACAAAGGTTTAAAGAAGAAAAAAATTTGCCCTCAAGACCTTTTGTTTTGGTCAAGACACAGGTCCAACACCCATTTGAGTAATTTTTCAAACCCGCGAGTAAAGACCAAATAAGTAAACAAGTGACGCAGACCAACACCCAGCATCAACATTTAACATTGTTGTAAATAAAACATACGCTACAACAATATTTTACGCAATAAATAAAATCACCCAACAATGAAATTGTTGAAATGCCGAAACGCGTGTAACAGACCAAGGGGGATAGATCATGATCGGTAACGATCAAATTAAAACAAAACTGTGACTTTCATACTTGAGGTCAAATTTTTTTTTCTCCTTTTAAAAAAAAAGTAGGAGTATAGGATCACAATTTTTCGCTGTTTGGTATCTATTGACAAACAATCAAATGCCAACAAAAGAAAATTATACTTTGTAGAAAATATGCTACAACTGTGAAACTTTACCCTGGGACAGAAACTGGCTTCTGGGTAACTTCTGAATTAAAATTATACATCAAACAATTTCTGGACTCAAGTACAATAGACCTTATACCATTTTTTTATATTTCTACTCAGAGAATCTCTTCAAAGTTATTATTTATCAAACCATTGTAAAAAAGTACTTTCTAAATTGCAAAAAGTTTTTAACGAGGTGGCACATGTTTTATTTACTCAAAATCAACAATGTTAAAAGCTGATGCTGGTAGTTGTTCTGCGAAGGGTTACTTATTGGGATAATTTTTCAAATTAGTCGATCTCTGACAAAGAAAGCGAATCAATCGACTTGATCAACTTTTTAAGTTCTTTATACGATTTGCTTTTAAAGTGCCAACTTAATAAGTCCATTCTTTTGGAGTGTACGTTGAGATCAGCTATGACTAAAGCTAAATAAACTTTAACGAAAAAAAACTATGTTATTTCATTATTAACGTAATATTTATCTAGTTTTTTAAATAAAGTTATTATTTAACATAAATCGTTCGATAGGACAGTCTAAAATCAACAAGCAGAAATTAGACTTAATAATGGTATATTATTTAAAGTCTGACGATCAGCTTGAACTACTTCTGGACAAATAAAAACTAATAACAGACTGTCGTGATTAATACAAACGAAACCAACAAATTAAAAATTGTAAACAATTTCCTTTTATTCTCCACAGAAGCCATCGGAAAGTAGTGGGTCGGGCGTGAAGCCATCTCGTCCGGCTGATTACACTCGACCTTTTGCTAAAGGGACGCTTAAAAGATGCCAATAGGATATTCACTCGAAAACTATTTCCAGCAAGTGTAAATAATAAATTTTATTAACGGTACTTATAAAGAAGTGTAGAGAAAATTTTCGTTCATATCTACGTGCCTGGACAAAACCAATCAAAAGAACGCACGACGATACGGAATAACCTCTGTGAAGATTCAACGTTAAGTAGAAGGATAGGACCTGATGGGATTACTCTTTTCTCAAGGGTCATGAGGTATTCGAGCTCAAACAAAACCTCAGAGCTCATCTGAAGAAAGTACAAGCTGCAGGTGCACTGTTGGACCCAGAATACAAGATGGTATAGGAGTGATACAAGCGAATGTCCAGAACCAAAAGATAGTTGAGGAATCAGCAGAACGTCTTCAGCTCGATAATGACTCTGAATCGCAAAACCCAATTTAAAAAAAGTTATGAATTCAGAAAATAAATTCAAATTTAAAGAAATGAACAAATTGATTTGTTTGTAATAACAAGACTCTTCCGTAGACTAGACATAAACATTAATTTTTCTTGGAAGATTTGGAATTAGGGAAAATCCATGTATATGAGGAAAAGAAATAGCCAGTTAACTGGCTTCTTGACAGGACATATCAAACTCAATGAAGAATCATACTTGCAAAGCAGAGGAACATAGATAATTCAATATTGCGGAAGTTAAACTAATGGAAATGCTACTGTTATTAAATTCATTAGATTTCGTGATCCGATTGACCAAATAACATCTTTCAATTAATTAATCTTTATGTAAGGTATTGGTTGAGATAAAAAAATAGTCAGCGTCTCGAGCGGGATTTGAACCTACGACCTTCGGCTAAATACGTCGCTGCTCTGCCATTTGAGCTATCGTGACTACGATCCATTCGGACACTACCCCACCACTAACCAATACCTTACATAAAGATTAATTAATTGAAAGATATTATCTCGTCAATCGGACCACGAAGCCTAATGAATTTAGTAAGTTATAACTTCAGTAAAGCTCTCTCTCATTTGTCGCCGAGAATCAATAGACACTTGAAAAATGGCAAAAAGGAAGGAAAATTCGAAAGGTTGGGTTGATATGGAAAGTTAGTGTCCGAGTGGTCGCAGTCACGATAGCTCAAGTGGTAGAGCAGCGGCGTATTTCGCCGAAGGTCATGGGTTCGAATCCCGCTCGTGACGCTGATTTTTTTATCTCAACCAATACCTTACATAAAGATAAATTAATTGAAAGCTACTGTTATTGTTGAACCCAAACGTGAAAGAGGTACAAAACTGCAGGTGCAATTTCATCTTGAAGAGTTCAGTCCAGAACGATTCACCCGAATTCTACTTTATGCCAGTGTTTAATCTCTATAACTGCCATTTTTTAGCTTACAAATGACCCAAATTTTGTTTAAATAATTTTATATCGGAGCAGATGGCGATCAGCATGTTATCTATGGCATGCAAACTGGGTTAAGTAGCACACTTCAAGGGAAAAACGTTTTCCCGGTACTTGTGATGTGTTTTGGAGAAAAACTACTTCTTTTCTACCCAATGACTTTTTAAAAACTATATATTTATTTGGCTTACAATATCTGGCAATCCATAGAATTTTACTCAAAAGAAACTCATCTTTTGACTGAAAACACCTTGACCCCAGCAGAATCATTCTTACTTGGCCGAAAACGTACGCATTTTGACTCATCTTTTGACTTAAAACAACTTGACCACCGCCGAATCATTTTGCCACGAATATTTTTTGGGGATTTTACCTTCATTATTGATTCTTTACATCAAATCGTATCGAAAAGCTGCCTGTTATCTAGAATGTTGCACAAAGAAATAAAGAAACAAATTAGTACTTAATTAAAAGCTAGTAATTTAGCAAAATTGCTACCAAGACTACATTAAGCTATAGTTTGAAGTTTTACGACCTGCTAAAGCTGATGAAACCCATAAAAGAGATACGGCTCAGAAAATAACACAATGAAGATGGCGAAAAGCTCATTGACAAAACCAGCGAAAACAGATCAGGATGATCAAAATAAGGTTCACCCTCTCTTAGACCTCAACCACACCAGCGAATTTTAAAGCCAATTTTTCTAACAGTAACATCTAACAAAACTGCGATTAAAATGCAATGAATAATAGCAGACAACAGTGTTCTGTCCTTTATTGCTCATTGGAACTTGAAAATGACGAACTTAAAAGCACAGAACCCATTGCGATTGTGGTGGGAGTGGTCGAAGGGGGGTCGCTGGAGTTAGGGGCATGCCAAATTTCCAATATCTCCAGTTGTCAGTTGCATTTCGCGGTTTCCTTCGCAAAGCCGTCCACCTTAAACCTCTTCGACCAAGACGTAAAAACAAGTTAGTACTTAATATAAGCACAAGTATATCTAGTTAGAAAAAGTATTTTTTAAACGAAACATTTATGACAGTGAACACGCTAGTTGCATCAATCACTCTCAATTTTCTACATCGTGACTCACCCAATTCATAAATATACAGATATATTTATGTATTTTATATATATACATATACAAATATACATAAACATACAAAAGATTTTACCATATATTTTTGTTTAAGTTACGATTTTGCTGGTTGACGACTGCGATGGCAAGTCTGTGTCTTTTCCATTCTTTATTCCCAAGACAAGTTTTTGCGTAAAAAGTAATTAAACTATTAAGCACTACATGACTTTTGTCTAAAAAATGTAACTTTCACTGACTGAAACTACTTATTAAGTAAGATGTTTAAATTATAATGATCAGCTACTGCAAAAACTAGACTGCAGACAACCAGACAAAAAAAGAATTTTAAAGCTAAAAATCATTGAAATGGTAAGGTGTCTTGTCCTATTCTTGACTCCAATGTATTAAATACAACACATACACATCCCAATTATACGCACAATACTACAAAACAGAGAGAGAAAGAGAGAGAGAGAATTGTACAAAATAGCAGTAAATCGTGCGAAAAAGATTGAAATTACAGTCTACAATACGCATGAAAATACTTTTGGCAGAGTAGCTAAATTTTTTTTTGATTACATTTTATTATATGAAATAGAGATGTACAGGATTATTCAACAGCATACACATAACTACATTCGTTTATAAATTGATACGTTTTTCCCCCCTTTAGCCTCCCTTGCCTTCGTACTGTCGTAGATCTAGCCATTCTACTAATTAATAAGTTGGAAAAAAGAAAATCTGAACAATACAACAACAAATAAACATCAACACTTTAACAAAAAAAGGCAAAAATATGTGCTTGCATTAAATTTTAATTTTTATACCATGCAACTTAATGTTAAATATTTAAAAACACTGCAATAACTAACTGGAATCTACCAATAACGTGTACACGAAATAATTACAAATAGTTAGTGCAAACATATTCTTAGGGGGAAATGAACCAAAACATAACTCTAATTTGATTAATACAATAAATACACATGGAACCTTTAAGCACAAACAGTACAAAACACAATATACTACAAACACTCAGAAAATTTTACGAAGTAGGAGTATAACCATAAAAAAAAGGTTGTTATTACAGAGTACAATTCCCTTGAAAATACATACAACACATACACATCCATACCAACGCATAAATACTACAAAAAACAAAAGTCAACCGAGAGAAAGAGAGAGAGAGAGAGAGAGAGAGAGAGAGAGAAAGAGAGAGAGAGAGAGAGTAAGTGAGTAAATGAATGAATGAATCAGTGAGAGAGAAAATTTGACGAAATAGAAGTAAAATTATAAAAAAGTTTGAGATTACAGAGTAAAATTACCATGAAAATAAATACAACACATACACACACAAATCAAAAATACTACGAAGCACAAAAGTCAACAGAGAGAGAGAGAGAGAGAGAGAGTGAGTAGAGAATGAAAATAAGTTAATGAATGAATGAGAGAGTGTGGGTGAGAGGGTGAGTGAGTAAGTGAGTGAATGAATGAATGTGTGAGGTAGAAAATATTACGAAATAGAAGTAAAATCATTAAAATGGTTGATATTACAGAGTAAAATTACCTTGAAAATAAATACAACACACACAAATCACAAATAAAACGAAGCACAAAAGTCAACAGAGAAAGAGAGAGAGAGAGAGAGAGAGAGAGAGAGAGAGAGAGAGAGAGAGAGAGGGGGGAGGAAAAGAGAAAGAGTGAGAGGGAGCGAGTGAGTGAGTGAGTGACTGTGAGAGAGTGACTGTGAGAGAGAGAGAGGGAGTGAGTGGAGAATGGAAGTAAGTGAATGAATGAGTGAGTGAGTGTGTGTGTGCGCGCGCGTGTGTGCGTGCGTGTGTGCGTGCGTGCGTGCGAGACTGAGTGAGTGAGTGAATGAATGAGTGAGAGAGAAAATTTTCCAAAATAGTAGAAAATTATAAAAAAATTTGAGATTACAGAGTAAAATTACCATGAAAATAAATACAATACATACACATCCAAACACACAAAAATCACAAATACAACGAAGCACAAAAGTCAACAGAGAGGGTAAGAGAGAGGAGCGAGAGAGAGAGAGAGAGAGAGAGAGAGAGAGAGAGAGAGAGAGAGAGAGAGAGAGTGGGTGTGTGAGGGAGAGGGATAATTTTACGAAATAGAAATAAAATCGTAAAAGTTGTTATTTAATCTTAAAAGTTTTTGCACGAAGTAATTGTAAAAAGTTCAACTTTATTCTTAGGGTAAGATGAACCAAAAGCCAAACTTGTATTACATGCAATACATACCTGACGCGGAGGCCGAGTGGTATTTTTGTTAGAACGTCCGACTCGTATTTGTCACGCTAGCGGTTCTGGGTTCGAATCCCGATGGTTCCCAGGGTTTTTAATTGATAATGGTGGTACGAAGTTTGTATTGTAATGTGGTTTGACCCTTTGACACGTGAAGTCCTCCTGTACAACTACTTTACTTTTACAACATACACAACATAGAACTAAACATTAAATTTTTGGCAAATCAGTCAATAGGTTTTTCCAACTTAATTTTTTAATTGAATTCCCAGTCTTTACTGAAAATTTTCTGTTGAGTTATTAAAATACTTTGATAAACTTAGTACCAACTCAAAAAATCATTGTACTATATTTAAGCTTTTATTTAATTAAAGATGAATAAATTGAAGGGAATAATAGACGTTATGACCTGTCTGAAAGATCTAAATATAAGACTACAAAATAACTTATAAAAAATTGATCCCTTCATGTTGACTTATCAGATTGACAAATTCGCTGTCAGATCATCCGCGGCCACCTTGGTTGATCCGTATGACCTCGCGGTTACACCTAGAAATTATTTTTCGTTCAATTTTATGCGCTCCCGTTTCGAGAGATTTGATATTATAGTAATTTATTAGGGTTTTTCTTATAGCTTAGATGTATTTTTAAGCTTCCAAGTACACGTAACATCTTTGAACTATTTTGATAGATCTAAATCAATAAGCCAAACTTTAAAATTTAAGGGGGATTTGTCATTGGACAACAATAACAAACTATTTATTTTCTTGTTTCCCGACTTATTTTATGAGCAAACGATGATAATCGTTTTATTAAGGCTTCCGGGAAAATTTAGTGTCCACTATAAAAGCGTTTACATTTAGAAAAAGGCACATTTTTCATTCCTAGTGTCCATACTAGGAAACCCCTTACGACCTAGAGAGTGACAGGCCGAATGTCATTAAATTTTATGTACCCAGAGCCCTTAAGTAAACAAATAAAACTGCTTGTGAACCACCCCGAATAATCGTTAATTAATTTAAAAGCTTGCTATTTTAAAGGTCAATCGTCCAGAAGCGTACAGGCCGGCCGATGTTTGGAAATGATTTTATTATTATTTGTATTTATAACATTATAATATATATAAGTTATATATATAAAAGTTCTATTCATTCGTAGACTAGGCTTTGCAGATCTGAACGAAAAAATCGAAAAGAATGTGAAGACCTTCCAACCCCGTTGCAATTGGTGAGTTGTTGACATAATAGAGATAAATAAAGAAACTGCTATTAACTAGTAAGCAGTATTAGTCAAAATTGTTAAAGATGTGCTAGTCAGCATTATTTTCCTAAGAAAATTCTCATAATAATCTTCATTTACCTCAATATTCTCATCATTCAGAAACGTCAATACCGTGATCTCTCAGTAATCCGAAATAATAACTCCAGGGGGTATTCGGATTACTGAAAAATTCGGATTACAAAGGGTGTCAGATAGATTACACCGTACAAAAAACAATTTTGACACAACACTATATTATTATTGCATACATAAATCATAAACCTATTATGATACATATATCAGCTTTCCTTAAAAAATCATTTTTATTTAATTTGCACTGATGTACAAAATTAACGCACCACCCATAAATTTTAATGTATTTAGGTTTATTCATATTTTGCACAGCAAAAATAAATTTGGTAATAAAAATAAGACATTTAAAAAGAAAATGTTTATTACCTAATTCTAAAAAAATATGTGTAAATAACAAATAAAGTAAAATAATAATAAAAATAAATTAATCTTTATGTAAGGTAATGGTTGAAATGAAAAAGCTAGTGTCACAAGCGGGATTCGAACCGACGACCTTCGGCTCTATACGCCGATGCTCTCTTCGAAGTCACGATAGCTCCAGTAGTTACAGCAGCGGCGTATTGAGCCGAAGGTCGTGGGTTCGAATCCCGCTCGTGACACTAGCTTTTTCATTTCAACCAATACCAATATGTCGTGTATTCAGGATTCGATTCTCGGCGACAGATGAAATGGCCACGGAGAGCTTTAGTGAAGATATACTTCGTTTTACTTATTAAATCCATAATATTTCGTGGTCCGATTGACCGAATAACTTCTTTCAAATAATTAATCTTTATGTAAGGTGTTGGTTGAAAGTCACGATAGCTCAAGTGGTAGAGCAGCGGCGTATTTAGCGGAAGGTCGTGGGTTCGAATCCCGCTCGTAACACTAACTTTTTCACTAACAACACTAAAGACAACGTAACACTAAAGATGAATTAATTGGAAGTGTATTTAACATTTTCTCCATTGCTTCTTCCTCTTTTTCAGTCATTTTTAAGCAGTAGGTAATATACTTAACATAAGAAAAATGTAGTGATCTGACATTCCATTTGTAGTAGTGAAGGGAGGCGAGGGATTCACTGAACAAAAGAAATTCTGACACTCTCTCATTCTCTCTCTCTCTCTCTCTCTCTCTCTCTCTCTCTCTCTCTCTCTCTCTTTCTCTCTCTCTCCTTACCTGCTCCCAAATCATGTTTCATTTGTTTCTTTTAAAATTTTTACTTCTTGATTTTTTTCCAGTTCGGTTTACTTGGATGTTCAGAGTACCGAGTTGGGATTAACGAGAGAGCACGTATATAAAATTTATTATATAAGACATAATAATAAAATTATCGGTAAAATATCGAAATTAAACTTTAAACATTTAATAAACACAGATATGTTGAAAAAAAATCCAGGATAGGTGTGAAGACCTTGCGCTAAACTGACCTATTCCCTATTATATACTAGTTCTCTATTTTTGAATTTTTTATGATTTATTTAGACTAATTTATATAAACTGAATCGTCATATTTTTTATTTTCCAAATTGCTTATTTTTACTCGGACCAAGTGGACACACATAATAGCGTTTGTTTTTTATAAAGAATGTGCACAAACCAAAATTCAAGGCTTAATACTTATTGACTTTATAAGTTTGATACTGAATGCCGTTTAATAAAACGACCAGTTCAAACAGATCAAAACAAACAAACCACAAAGGGTGACCATCAAACCACTCAATTCTGGCAGTAGAACAACCCTTTACAAAAACTGAAAATGCAAAACGGCTGTTAAGGTTTATTACATTCTTACACGGAATCTTTAACATGAGTGAAAATCAATTTCGCCTTCAATTAGCTTTTATTCTCTAGTTAATGGAGTTTGTTTAGAAAGCTGTCGATAAAAACCGTACCATTTCATCGGATATTTTTCTTTTCAGTCGAAGATGTCAGCCGAAGCGTGGAATACAACTCAAGAAATACAGGACCTGAAGGACAACATCGACGATCTCTTTTTACTGGTCAACGCAATATTCGTTTCCTGTGAGTATCTATATTTTTTTGTAAGTATCAATAATAGGAACAATGCCGTCATTTATATCATTACCCACCAAAAAATATAGTTTCAAAATATATCTTAAATATCAAATTTATCCGATAAAAATATTCTTGCGTGTACAAAATTTGTAGTTTCTTTATCAGGTTCGTTGCCCTAGTATGAAACCACTTCAATTAATTGATCTATTTAATTAGTTTAATATACATTTATCTCATAAGCTTTCAAGCTCTTGCACTAGTTAGCAACATACAAAGGAGCAAATTTTATTTTCTTTAAAAAAAAATTCTCTGCTGTAAAGAAGTTGCCGTTACCCCAATTTTAGAAAATATTGAAAATTTTCAACTCTAAAACCAGTTTTTTTTCTGGAATAGCGTGATGTCTCCAATTTAGTTGGTTAACAGTACATTTTCGTTGCAAGACGTCAATACCCGCCGGTCGAGTTGCGAATTCCGTTTTGCCCAGTTTGTCCAGAAAAATAAATTTAAAAAAAATAAAAACTGGGCATGCAAAGTGGTTCATTACCATTAGGGGCAGCTCAATTTGAGTTCCGGGAACAAATTATTCTTATTGAGGGTATAGGATTTCCTTCCATTATCGAGGATGGCTATTACCGTCATGCAAAAAGGAGACGCTCGAGGTTAATTTGAAGAGGTATTTTTCATTATTTTATACAAATATGAAAACTCCTTTTTTTTTAAACAATGAACCGTTTAAAAAATGAATTGCTCTACAGTCCTTCGGGTAAAGTACATGGTGGTAATGACTCTTTCCAGCTCTAATTAGCCTGTGTACTCAGTATGGTCAATTTTTCTTTTTTTAACCATTTAAAAATAATCAGATAAATACAGGTTCAATCTAATTATTCCTTTGTGATTTCAGTTATGCAAGCTGGTTTCGCTTGTCTCGAAGCTGGGGCTGTAAGAAACAAAAACGCCACTAACATCTTGATGAAGAACCTTCTCGATCTATGCAAGTATTTTAATTTTTTATATATATNTATGGCTGCAAATAGAAATCTTGGTAGTATGATCGCGGTGTATATCCATTTGGCCACCCATGGTTTAATACCCCATGTTCTACCAACGATTCTCCTACACTGCACCATGGATATAGTACCTCTCCTATGTATATTTTTGATGTGGCCTTTCCAATCAAGTTTCCTATCTAGAGTTATCCCTAGGAATTTGATTGAATCCTTTAATTTTAATTATTCGCATAAAAGATAGTGTCTGTTTTTCTCAATTAACATCAATGGAAGTTTTATGAATTATTCGGCAACCCTGGCAGGACGGCCATATACCCTCGTCTTCTCTTAATTCCCAATGGTCGTATAACTCTCGCACGTCCACTTTGCTAAGGTCCAGAAAGACACAAATTCAAAAAGTTCAAATTTTAGTTTTATTTATAACCAAATACCGCTTTTTGGTCGTGGATGGAGCTGAAGACATAATAGTTGCAGATTCTCTTCATTAGACGTCAGGTTCGTCCGTGTGTCCGTGTTTCCTAGTCACTTGAGATAAAAATCCTTCGATCAGTTAATTTGACCTGGGTCTTTGACGTCTGACTTAATTCGGCAAAAGTTGTTTAAAAATAAAGGGGGCCTTTAGCTCGCGATGCTATGTTTAGTTGCTTCGTTCATGTTTAATCATCCTGGCTTCAGTGAAGGTATTGGTTATTTTGACTTCTGATTGGAGGTATTTAGACTATGTTTCAATCACCTTTTCCTCAAGGTTCTTGGATGCGCAAATTTTTTAATTTTGTAGATAATGTGCTGGATTTCTAAATTTCATATTATCTTTTTTCTTATTTGACCATATTGGCGAAGAGCTTATCAAAGAATGAAGAATAACTACATGTTATGTTACCTTTTTTATCCGACAGCTTGGTCATTTCAGCCCCTAGCGCATGCGAAATATTACAACACACATTCAATATGCATTCACCCAAATAAATACATTCACACCTATATACATTGTATTCATTCTATTTGGTAGATGGAGTACTCATTATTCCTCCATCGACCTGCATACATAACAAATAATCTAATTGGGGTCGATGGGGTACTTTTATAAATATTCTTCCATCGACCCGATGCTATTCCACCATCAGCCCCTCCCCATTCACTCTAATAAATACACTCACTCATACAAAACAAATATTGTGAAAGCTATAGCAATAAAAAATTCCAAATCCCCATAGAAAAGGACCCTAAAACTCGCTACGTGTCCGAGAACGATTCTTAAATCCGGCGGCATGCCTTCACGCTCCCTGTATGGAGCCAATGCATGACACGCCTCTATTATGTGGAACCTTTCTCTGCCTAAGGGGCACCTGCGCGGGTTTTGGCCCAAAAGCAGGTGTCCGTGGGTCAACAGTTTTTTTTTTTTCGTAATACTAAAATAATTTTGCCTGTTTGTTTTGCAATAATTTTCTACTAGTTTGCCCTTTTGATGTCTCTTGTTGTGTGATGATGATTTTAAGAAGTTGTTTCATTATTTTTTTGTATTTATAACAAAGATTCTCCCTAAAAACTACAATTTGATGTTATGTTGTCTTTGGGCTTTTGTTTGGAAGGTTTGGATGCGCTGGATGTTGGATGGCTTGGTAGAACCCCAAAATTACACTCCGTATGTCCAAAGTGGTCGCAGTAAAAGCTTGTATGAGGTTTGTCTAGTGTTTTTGGTCCTAAAAGTCTCCGTAATTCTACAAGTCTTCTGTCAAGTTGTGTGCTTTGCGGATAGCAATGACTTTTTCTCTATGTGAACGCACACTGAGTAAGTTTGTAAGTCAGCAGTATAAATGATATAAAGGATAGGACCAAGGATGCTCCCTTGCGGGTCGCCGGCTTATAATCAGTCTGACTTCCAAGATCTCGTTGCCTCACCTCAAGCCCGGGTGCTACCAAAACCCTTTTCTACATCAAGCAATACTCTTCATTGATTAGTTGAGATAATGTTGACAATTATGAAACTTTGTTGGATCGTGAAATGACGAGAACGGAAACCAAAATGAAGATTTTATGAGGAACTAGGATGGGTATTAAGTGCTTTAAAAGAAAATCATTCGAGGATTTTGGACATTTAAAAAAGAAGGCTGATCCTGTAAGAGGATTTGTAGTTGGGAGGTTTATGAGCTTAAGGAATGAGAAAAAGAACGGAATCAGAAGAAAGGGTTGCTCTGTTAAATTTCTACAGCTTGGAACGTGGAACCCAAATTTCTCCAATTGCGATTTGGTGTGTGTGTATTGGCACTTTTGGCTGATTTATTCACATTTGACAAAATAAGTTGAAATTTGGCGGATAAAATCCTGGTTGTGGAGTGTTTGACAAGAGCAAAATGTATGTGTTTGTTTTAATGGACAACCGATTTATTTTCGATTTCCTTCTTTACAACGGCTTATACCGGGTCATTGTCCCGCTGAGTTAGTAAACTATTTCCTCGTTTCTTTTCATCGCAAGGTGAATAAATTACGCCGCAACAAGGCGACTTTTCATCAATTCTAAACACCCCCATCCACCATGAAACCAAACACCCTCCCCCAAACCATTACATTAGCCCACCACTTTATACGTTTGCTAATTTCCTTGTCAAAAGCCTTTCCTGTCAAAACATGCTTAAATTTCATCTTTATTCTATCAAACGTGACAATTTTATTTTTGTACAAATAGTAAACCAATTATTGTACCTCTTAGCTGATTTTTTGGTTTTCTCGTCAGTATAAACTTTTACATTTTTGTCTTCTGATTGAGGTATTTCTTGAAAATCACAACCTCTAATAAATATCCTCATCCCACGAGGAATTCAACAACAACCAGTATAAAAGAAGTCATTTCAACTTTTAAATTTTATTTTAAACGTCAGGGTCCGAATATGTTTTCGCCGTCCAACCAACTCGAAATAAATACTAAACCCTCCTATTTATTTTCCATTAATTAATCTTTAAGTAAGGTATTGGCCGAGATAAAAAAAAGTCAGTGCCACGAGCGGGATTCGAACCCACGACCTTCGGCTAAATACGTCGCTGCTCCACCACTTGAGCTATGGTATACCAGGCCTATTTAGCCGAAGGTCGTCGGTTCGAATCCCGCTTGTGGCACAGACTTTTTTTCTCGACCAGTACCTTACTTAAAAATTAATTAATTGAAAAGAATTTAATTGGTCAATCGGACCCCGAAACCTAATCGATCCTCCTATTTATTTTAAATTGAGTTACGATGTGAACTTTTTCCCCCTTTATCGGCGAATTAATGGAAACATCCATCGTTATTGTGACTTATGTGCTTTAGGGGTTCCCTGCTGAGATCCCGGCTACCAAGTTTTTCTCGACACTCTTGCAATTGAACGGTGTTTTTAGCAGACGATTTTTTTTCTCAATAAAATTCCCGTAGAAAATTGTCCTAAATGAATGCTGGATTAACTATTTTTCATGTGGCTTTGTGCTGGCCAGAGTGGTGGATATGAGTCTCCATAATTTTAGTGTGAAAAAGGATGTGGGGATGGTTCTTATTGAAGTATAGAAAGCTTTTGTGTTTGGCATAGAGGTCTCATATTTAAACACATATCATTTCAATTTCCTAACACAAGTAACTACGAGAATTCGTTTACAGATTAATGCCATAAGGTTTAAGAAGTTAAAATCTTGAGTCCCCCAAGGGTTTGTCCTTGGACCAACCTTATTTAACATCTTTATAAATGACCTTTGCAAGCTAAAAACTACAGCTGAACTGGCCCTCTTTGCTAATGGTACGGCCTTTATAAGAGAATTATCAGTAAATGTACATAGGTGTTTTAAATTTGAAAAAATTGAGACTCAGACCTAATGGTAGCAAGACAGACAATATGGTTTACTCAACGCAGACCACACAATGTCAATCATGTAAAAATAAATAACTCGCCAATACCATGGGCTAAAAATGTTAAATACATAGGAAAGTATCTGGATTCCAGACTTAATTTTAGTTACCTTATTTAAAAAATTTAAAAAAAAGCTCAAAACATGGACCATCAAGGAGCCTTTACTAAGTCTTTAATAAGCATTCAAGTATGGTTAGTAAAAATAAAAAACTTAATCACTTACGGTACTCCCATTGGGGAAATATGTCTAAATCCAAATTTGCTAAGCACCAGGTAATCCAAAATTCTCTAATAATTATTGGATGGTTTCCACATTGGACTCAGATAGACTATATGCATGTAACCCTAAATAAACCTAGCTTAACAACCTACATCTATAAATCAATTGTAAATTTTTACAATTCATGCCCCATCATTTTACAATAGCCCATTTATATACAATACAATCTTTTTATTTATAACAGGGACGACTTGAACTACTGTAAATACAAGCATAAAAGACTTGAGAACTTTGTGAAAAATAATAAAAGTATGTTAAAAGGAAATATATCTGCTAATGTGCCTGGTTTAACCAATTGCTGTGATAAGTAATGTTTAAATAGATGTCCTTATCTGTTAGTTCATTTTTTGTGTACAGCATGTACTCGAATATTATTATTGTCTTATTTTTTATTGAACTGTTGTATTATCAGTACCACCTTTATTGTTTTAATGCCTGAGGTTTTTTTTTTATATTTTACCCCAAAATTATTTTATGCATAATGTACATTTTAAGATAAAATGCTTCTTATATTTAATGCGGACTAGGTGAAAAAGGTGCAATAATGCCCTGGAGCCAACTGAATGCAGCTATGTAAGCAAATACAATAAATAAAAAATTATATGCAATAAAATTCATACATAAAAGTTATAGGACATTACCAGATTGCAATTATAGGATACAGGTCATAGTATTGCAATCAGCACAGGTAACTTAATAATTATTAAATTATCGAAAAAAAATTCATTACTTGTCTAGCTATTAGTAAGCATATCATTGTAATAGGTTAAACTTACTGTTGAAAATAAAGTTTAAAAAAAGGAATCAATAAGTGAAGTTATTTAATTGGTGCAGTCATAGGACAACAGGTTGAAGGTATCAGTAGTTAAATTTGCTGTCTCTAACTTTATCAACATACTTGAACTTCAGTCTAAGAAGAAAGAAGACAGCATGATCCAAAATTACTTGAAATCTGATCAAACAAAATTTCAAACTAACAAAAATCTAGAAGTTAATGAGAATTTAGAATAAGAACTAGAATAATGAGGACTATTTTTTAGAGTCGGGAAAAAATGAGCTGGGTACCACCTGAATAAAGCAAACTGCTGTATATATTATTCAACAAACAAAGTCTAAAAATTCTTATTGATACGGGCAAAACCATTTATTAACACTAAACTTGCCAAAACCTATTTCAACACAAAATTTAAAATTGAACCGTTCAGAATAAAAAACAGCTCATTGATCATCTTTTGATAAATACGGCACCATCATAAATTATTTAACTTTGGTAATATCTTTGTAAAATTCAATTTCTTCCATTTTCATGACTATTCTTCACACAACTGGAAGTTCACATAGATTTCAAAAACAGACTTACTAAGCCCACTCATCAGAAAATTAAAATTTTCTATCGTCAAATTCCAAATCAAACCGCAAATTCATAAGTGGAAACTCAGAAAAACTTGTAGAAATTCCCATAAAAAATGCAATTTGGCAAAAGCATTAATCCCACGCACAAAACTCGAAAACCTTGAAATATTAGAGTACTTTGCAAATGCAAAGAATTAAAAAGCAATGGAAAAAATTATGGATACTGATAAGAAGGAAAGTAAAGTAAAAATTAATCATCCAATTGCTGTAGAAAATCATAGAAAACTTCGAAATCTCACACACTACACCGATTGAAGGTCAAATGACAAAGCCTAAAGTTAATTTAATCCGAACCGAACATATAAATCCAAAAAAAAAGCAGCAATGAAAAAACGAGTTTAATGAATATTTGTTTACAATTGGTTGGTCTAATAAAACCAATTTTAATAAACAAATTTAATTTATAAAAAAAAAAATTACATACCATTCATTCACTTAGGGTGGTGTAATAGTTGAAATTCATACATCACTCTTCACACCTTTTATTTAACTAACCTAATTGAAGATCAATGGGAACTGATGATCTGCCATCGTTCCTCTCATATTACACATTCACTCTAATACTAAGTACATTCACTCATGAGGAAATACTAGACAAAATATCTACAAATGTATATGATTTATATAGATTAGAGTATGTCTATAAACTGTTTGCAAAACCACCTTCATTCGATAATTACCAATATTCTCCTCAAATGTCTCACATCTATGTATGTTATGTAGGCCAAATTAATGTTATAATACCCATTCTGTATAAGATTTTGCAACAGTTAATCAAGAGACTAAGATTTTTTTTTTTTTTTTACAAGCCAAAATATTGCACTATGTGCATTCCGATTAATTACATTAATTCATAGATTTAATTTAATCTAAAATGCTTAAATTTTCACAAATTTACAAAGGTATAATCACAACAATGCAAATAATATCAGAATTTTTTCCAGTTATATGTGGCATATTCTACTATTTGATCGGATATGCTCTTGCTTACGGGAATGGATCCCCATACTTGGGACTTACCACTTGGGCCGGAATAGGCTTACTTGAGTCAAGTTTGGCTTTCTGGTTCTTCCAGTTCGTTTTCGCAGCTACAGCAGCAACTATTATATCTGGTGCTGTTGCCGAAAGATGTAATTTTACTGCATACATAATCTACAGTGCAACAATATCAGGTAAAATATTGTTAAATTAAAGATATATAGATAAAGGAGGTAGACAAATGGAGAAACTAAATGAAAGGAGTGAGAGAGAAAGAGAGAGATTGAGAGAGAGTGAAATATAGATCTAGTTTTAAAAATGGATACCCAGAGATTAGGAAGATCTGGATACTAAAATGTCAAACTATATTTTATTAATTTTCAAATAATAGTTTATTGAATTTTTTCTTCTTACAAGGATTTGTCTACCCAGTTGTCAGTCATTGGACTTGGCATGACGAAGGCTGGTTGAAAATTAAAGGGTACAAGGATTTTGCTGGAAGTGGTGTGGTCCACGCTCTTGCTGGTGTGTGCTCATTCGTCGCAGCGTCTTTCATGGGGCCGAGAATCGGTAGATTTTCACACGGTAAAACTTATGACATCCCTGGCCATTCATTGCCGGTAATTAAAGATGTAATTACAAAAACATTCATTTTTGAATCATAACTTTTATTCTTTCAGATGGTCGGCACAGGAGCTCTTCTTCTGATCTCGGGGTTTTTAGCATTCAACGGCGGTTCACTCGGTCATGTCACACAACCAGGTGATAGTATGATCATTGCAAGAAGCATGCTTAGTACGATAATAGGAGGAAGTGGAGCAGCTACAGTCGCTCTCATTTTTGGTAGATGTCATTTAATTAATGAGAGTGATTGGCCTTTCAGTTTTGTCTTGAATGCCACTCTCGCTGGAATGGTAAACAAAAAATCCATGGAATAGTTTTTATGTTTTATTTATTTTATTTTATTTTTTATACATTTAAGGTAAGTGTATGTGGAGGGCCTGAAGCATACTCTACTTGGATAGCATTAGTCGTTGGTGGTATTGGTTGTCTGTGCTATCAGTGTATTCACAAGGTGGTCCTGTTGTTAAAAGGTATACTAGAGCTTTTTTTTCAAATTTAAAATATTATTGTTTTCAGTGAGTCAATTTTTTCCATATAGGATTTTTTTTCAATTTGACTCACTTTCAGTCGATGATCCATTGGATGCAGTCGCCGTTCATTTTGGCGCAGGTTGCTGGGGTGTTATTGCAAGGCCAATATTCTCCAAAGATGGACTTATATTCGGATTCACACACGATTCTTCTGTGGTATATATTAATATTTTTTATTTCAATTTTTACTGCTTATTTGATATTTATATAAATTTAAATAATGGCTATTATTATGTTTCTTCGTATGGAAATTAATTTATATTGTGATATATTGTGTTAAAGTCAGCAAGATGATGAACCCAAAGATTCATCTGATAATCTTGGTCTGCCCATTTTCATTGGTTTTGTCATGTTTTGTATGTTGCTTTTTGATATATTTTAAATTTGCAATGATCAGTCGGTGTTATTTCATCTCCTTCACACAAAACCAACAAGAACATGCAGACTGGGATGATCACACATTTTATGACCAGTTGAGAGAGGAGCAGAATTTTCAGCTATTTGTACTTTTTGTTGGTGTCATTTTTAAGTTGTTTGTTTAAAGGTTCAATATTTTATTACTTACTAAAAAGGTTACTTCTGATCATCATGGTCTGCCTATCATCTTCGGTTAAGATTGGTCGATGCTAAGGATCATTAAAGACCAGAGTACAGTCCTCTTTCTCTCTCACTCTCTCTCTCTCTCTCTCTCTCTCTCTCTCTCTCTCTCTCTTTCTCTCTTGTTTGCGTTTTCTACTAAATTGATAAATTATTATACTAAGATGAAATTTTTACAGCAATTACTCAATAACTTTGTGGGACTTTTTGCTATAATCAGTTGGTCAGCTATAACAAGCTGCATCCTTTTTGGAAGTCTCAAACTCTGTGGGAAACTTAGGGTTTCCGAACAAGAGGAAATTAAAGGTCATTAGATTGTCAATTAAATTTACAATTTAACTCAATTCTTTATGAAAACTGCCTTCTTTTAGGTCTTGACGTTTCCAAGCATGGCGAAGAGTCGTACCCAAAGTCTGCGTGGTGGACCAACGAATCGCCTCTCAACCAAAACGAAAGTATGTTAAACGTTAAATTATAAATTGTAGAAGGAGAAGGGGTAATGTTAATACTCGTTCTGTTGTTAAAATTATTTTTATTCTTTAGATGCATCTGGCTCCTATAGTGTAAGACTAAAAGAATATGATAACCATGCTTTCCAGATGGAAAGGAAAAACCATCACAAAAGTTGAATAATGAGTGAAGAGGAGTACAATTGTTTTAAAAATCAAAATTTACAATGAAGTAAATAATTATTATTGTAAATAGTGAATAAGCATTTTTTTAAACACAATAATAGATATAACGTTGCACATTCGCTTAAGCTGGTCTGATATTTATTTTTTTGTACATAATTTTTTTTAAGAATAAAAAGACTTGAGTAAAGTAAAATGTTTTGAAAACAACAATAATAGTAAACATTTACATAAATAATCAATTGAAATTTAATAATACTTCAGGACAACTATTATTTGTTACATATAATCACTTTTTTCTGTTAAAATCAAAACAACATAAATTTGAAAATTGCACATTTTATATAATACTGTAAAAATGTATATATATAATAAAATCCATACTATATGTATATGTGGAAAATATAAATAAATATTTTTTAAAAATTCGTTTCAGTAAAAAAGAAAAAAAGAAAACTGAACATTTCAAACCCATAAAATTTATTTTTTTAAACCTACATTTGATTTCACGTATTTAAACCCTCTTACTATAAGTTATATTCAAAAATATAAATAAAAGTGTCATTCAAAATAAATTAATATTAATAAATTAATTAATTTTCACTTGATTTGTGAAAAAAGGTAATTCAAATGTTAATGTACATTTTACAATTGTATAAACGCTAGTTATATTTCAGTGAATTTATTAGAAAGCATATATCACTGGATGCAATAGAATAATTTTAAGTAAAAGCATCTTGCAAAGCACAATTCTAAAAAGCAAATAAGAGCAAATAAAAATCACGTTGTTTTTTTTAAATTATTTAACTGAGCCGAATAAAAGTTCTTTTAAAGCATCATCACTAAAAGAATCAAAAAAAGTGTTTTCGTTTTGAATCTCACTTACGCCAGGGCTTAGAATTTTAATCAGATCACCATCTATGCTTTCAAATGGATCTAAACCTGAATCCCGTTCAGATGGAACGCTTAAAATCTTTTCTTGTGCTATTTTGTGCTGAATTGTCGAATCTGCTGGCTTTGGCAATCTTTCCGTTTCATTCTCCAAAACTACAACTGGGCTATTGTCGTTTAAAGACATCTCATCTTTAGTATTTATAAAATGAGCTGTTTTACTTATTTTTTCCTTTGATTTTTCTATATATGTGGTCGTATTATTGTTTAAAAAGGCGATTTCCTCATTTTCTATGTGCGAATTGGCCTCGTTCACAACAAAATCAGATGTGCTGTCAATTTTTGGACTCTCCTGGAGATCAGAAGTAGATACGACAACGTTAATACTGTAACCTCCGTTTTCGCCTTCTTGCTCCTGAAATATACATGTTTTAAAATATGTCTAATGTTAATTGATTATCCAAGTAACAACCTTGTTTAAAGCCGCTTGCAGCCTATGAACTAGATAGCCTTCAGACCTCACAACGACGCCTGGAGGTTCTGCCATACATTTATGAGTCCTTTGGCTTATCTGTAAATTTATTCAATTTAAATTCAGTTGATATGTCGATTAATTAAATTTATTACCTTATATCTAAAACATTTATTACATGCTGTACATTTGTACGGCATTACACCAGTATGAATTCTTCTGTGTACTAAATATGACACTCTTTGCCTAAAAGCTTTACCTGAAATTTAGAAAAGTGTAATTATGATTTTAATAAGTCTAAACAGGTGTCCATGTAATTACAACAAATATATTTTATGGTGTTATTTATTTTTTTAAAAAACACAAGAATATGCAATGGTTACTCACTCAAATTAAACACAAACGTTAAGTTACTTCTTCAATTGTGTTAATGCATAGAAGAAACTTCAAAAAAAATCTTGTTAGCTTAAAACCTAGCAAAAAGGAAAATAATTATAGACAAAATGCTCCAAGCGACAGCAATTTTTCTTTAAGAAGGGAGTACCGCATGTTTCGCATGTAAACGGCTTCTCTCCGCTATGTATCCTTTCGTGGTTATGGAGCGTAGACAACTCTTTGAAAAGCCTTCCGCACTTGGAACAGCAATAAGGCTTGTCGTTCGTATGATACAGCAGGTGTTTGTGGTACGACTGCTGGAATGTAAACGACTTGTTGCAGATCTGGCAAGTGTACGGCATTTCACCTGGAATTAGGGCAAGTCAGCAACGAATTTGGGATTTGAAGACTTCACATATTACCTGTGTGTAGCCTCCTGTGTTTTTTTAAGAAATACTTTGTCGTGAATTTCTTTGAACAGATTGAACACTGCCATTGTTTCTCATCATGGACTTTTAAATGTTGCAATAGATGTACTTGCTTTAAATTAAAATGAAAATCATAATTGAAAAGAAAATATCTTGAAGAATCTCTAATGTCTATATCATTTTTGGGTTTTATTGCTCACCTTCTTGAAAAATTTTCCACATATGTTACATGAATGTTCAGGTTTTTTCTGCCCATTTTCAACACCACCTATGATATTTTTAAATATTAAAATTAAGTTAGATTCACACTTTACTAAAATACTTACTAAAACCACCTGCATGCGCTACTCTGTTGTGAATCATGAGACTACTTCGTAGGCTAAATGTTCTTGGACAGTGAGGGCAAACCAACATCTTTCTCTTGCTCCCATCGTTTTCTTCTTTTTTGTGTACAAGCTGTTTGTGCATAGCGAGAATCGTTTTGTTCGGGAATGTGTAAGTACATGTATCGCAGGTGAATGTATTGTTTTCACTTTGTAATTCATCTTTTGGGCGTTCATTGTTTACTCCTGTTTCTTCTAATCCTGTCTAAATTCCAAAAATGTAGAATATTTCAATATTTAAAAAGTAATTATGGGTATATTTACCTCCAAAGCGTAATCTCCACCGGTTGAAAAATCTCCTTTTGTTAATAATTCCTTGCAAGATTCAAATTCTCTTTCGTTACTATTGCTTACAACATTGTCAGGGACTGAAGCAACACTCGGTGTGGAAGGCCATGAATTTATCGATTCTCCGCCAGAACGATAGAACATTTGATCTGGACTTTTATCTGTTTCATCATGGTCAAACAACTCAGAGAACTTTCTTTTACTGGTCTCCTTGGACGCTAACGTCGACTCAGAGATGTTTGTGTTCGTTATAAAATTCCTAGCGTTGATCGTAACATTTTTGAAGTTGAGGGCATCGTTTGCTTTAAGAGACACCAACTGACTGTTCTCAGATCGTATGCAGAATATTGAAGAAGACGTCTGTTCCGAATCGTCCTTCACCAATTCGACTAAATTTCTATCAGCCGCTGTTTCCAAATCGGCGCTGTTGTCAGCTTTCTGCACCTGGCGGACTGCAGAATGGCTAAAAAGGTGTATGGTGAATTTATCTAAGCCAGAAATCACTTGACTGCATATAGGGCAGCATAACATCCTAGAAGCGACATCTAAAAGAGCTGAACAAAGGGAATCAGATGTGTTGAAGCCAGGACGGCAGCATAATGGGCAGGTCACCATTGGTAGGGTCATGGCTAACCTAAAATTAAAATATGAAAATTATGCTATCAATTTTATTTGCAATAAAATGTAATATAAAAATACAAAATAAAATATAATATTATATAATAAACTATATATTATTTATTTGATATTTAAACTAAATGAAAAAATTAAAAAATCGATTAAAAAGAAACAAGAATTCCTGTTTGGAAATAAGTCAGTTAATCAAATATCAAGAAACAAAGGATTTACCAACATAAAAACATAGATTTTGTATATAAGTGTACATTTAGAATTATGTAAAACCTTTGTTGTATATTTTTTATTTTTTTAAACTAGGGGTGTTGATTAGTTAAGATTAATACCCTAACAAGTCAATACTTATCTAAATAAATTATTCAATTTTGAATATTTTGATTTTGGTAGTTTTTCTATCGTGAAAGAAAATTGACCAAATAAAAGATTTTCCTTTAAAAAGTGTCAAATATCAGGATATGGAGTGATGGAAAAATCTAAAAATAAATTATTGGAACAACCTCAATAAATAAAAACCAACAAATGCAACAACAAAAAAAACACATTTAAACTAGTATTATCTAACTCTTATTAATAAGAATTTACCTGAAAAAAAACTGTCTGGCCTTCAATAAAGATCTAAACTTATGTCTTCATTAATTGACCAATTCGAGTCCATTCGAGCCAAATTGGATGTGGATTTTATTTTGTAACGTTCGGATCGGGTAAAATGACAATAAATTATTGATTAATTTTAAACCAGACCCGATGAAATAAATATTTATCGGCGTACGACCTTATTTAAACCAAAATAACTATTTGTAGTAGGGTCAGTAACATAAGACCCAACCTTCCTTTCCTATCAGCATTGTTTACATGTAATTCGCCAGGCAGGCCCAACCTTCCAACCACTCAGATCAATTTTGACGTCAAGAAATTTTTTAAAATTCATTTAAGGGTCAAAACCCATTTCTTAAAAACAGAATACAAAAGTAAAGGAGTAAAATATATATTCAATACAACGATTATAAATAACACAATATTAACAAAGAATGAATATACACCAAAAAGATATAGATGAAAAAGACAATAAACTTCTTATTTTTATTTTATTTTATTTATTTACAGTCCAAACAGGCCAGGTACCCAAGCGTAGGACAGTCAAGCAAGACAACAAAACAATCATTACAATATAAACTATTAAAAAAGGATATAAAAATAAAAATAACAGCAAAGAAGTGCCAACACTTTTAACAAAAAATCAATATTATAAATTGATTAATAAATAGCACAACAAAAGTAATAAATAAACCCTCAAATACATTTTGAAGTTTGTTCAATATTTTTTATTAAAGATTTGAAGGGTTGAGGAGAAGGGGTCCGCACTGATAGTGAATTTATTTAAATAATGCGCAGCTATGGAGATTCTTATAAATAAAACAGCACAAAGATTTAATGAAACACCCTTTATACATATAATGACTAGGAATTATACAAACTAATAATACATATAAGTGATGTAATAAAGTATTACACCCACCTACATAGAACAAAACATATTTGTTTAATGTTATAGTTCTTACCATTTCGAATAGTGTTCAGTTGTTCGGTCACAACATCAGAAAATGTTAAGTAATTCAATAGAAAAAATACAGCAACGATTTATTCACACTATGTGCTTTAGAATTACTAGTACATTCTTGGACATACCTTGTCAAATTACAGAATCCACAGAAGTGCAACCACTAAACACCAAGACGACAAACCAGTGACCTGGTATTTACTTACAAGCTCTTAAATAATATGATTGACTGTCTACTAATTAATTATTCACTAAATTTTAATGTCCACAATGTAATACCAGGCAAAAAATAATATTTACAAAATGTAATTACAATACAGATTATTTAAAATTGTCTGATACCTAGACTCATGGAAACGTGTGATAAACTTCATTAAATTATGACCTTTCCTTAAGTTAATTTAAATATTTTTTGAATAATATGGATTATGAAAATTGCGTTTGATTTGTTTATTTATTTCTGTTGTTATGTATTCTTATTATTACATTTTTTTTTTTTTGCTTGGTCATTTCAGCCCCGAGCGCATACGAAATATTACAGCACACATTCAATACTCATTCACACATACATTGCATTCATCCTATTTGGTAGATGGAGTACTCATTATTCCTCCATCGTCCTGCTTACAATAACAAACTAATCGATGGGGTACTTTCATAAATATTCTGCCATGTCACGTACACAGTTCGAGGGGCTATTTCCCCATCAGCCCCTCTCCATTCACTCTAATAAATACTCTCACAAAACACAGAAACACAAAGCACATATTTTGAGGGCTATATGCAATTTAAAAAAACCACAATTCCCCTAAAAAGCAGAACAGGGGACTCTGATACTCACTACCATGTCTGAGAACTCTTAAATCCGGTAGCATACCTACACACTCTCTGTATGGAGCCAAGGCATGTCAGGCCTCTATTATGCGTGCCACATCAAGCAACCTTTCTCTGCATAAGGGGTACCTGCGTGACATTACATTATTATTCTTATTATTATATAGTGTTATTTCTTTCTCACTTCTTTTACATTCTTATACATATGTGTATTCTGACAAATTACTTACAATTGTTTATTTGGGTTGTTTTTTAATATTTGCATACTTTTAATTATCTTTATGTGTATGTTATTTATATTTCAATTATTCATTATTACATTATGGATAGTTTAGCCTCTTATAGAACTGTGTAGAGATTAGTAACCGTTAATCAATAATTATTCAGATATTGTGAGATGCGGTCTGGCCGATATCTGAATAATTACTCTTATAGAACTTGTGACTAGGTATATAAATAAATAAATAAATGAATAAATAAAATTGTTATGCTTTAAGTAATTGTCATTTTAATGAGAAAACAGAAGTATTAAATAAATCAACACTGTTGCTTATTAATTAAGGTTTTTAGTTGAGATAAAAAACTCAATGGCACGAGCGGGATTCGAACCCACGATCTTCGGCTTGATACGCAGCTGCTCGGACACCAACTTCCCATCTCAACCGCACCTTTTGAATTTTCCCTCCTTTTTGCCATTTTTCAACGATAGCTCAAATGGTAGAGCAGCGGCATATCAAGCCGAAGATCATGGGTTCGAATCCCGCTCGTGCCAATGACTTTTTTATCTCAACTAAAAACCTTAATTAATTGTAATATATTAATTCAATAAGTGGTCAAGCGGACCACGAAATTAGTGAACTGTTGCTTATGTTGTTACAGTCTATCATGCATTGCACTGGGGAGTGTAGTGAAAAATTTGTCCCTTTATATTCAATAAAAAATATTTTCTGATTTCTGAGTACATTTCTTAATTTTCTGAATTTATTTTGAATGGACCCAGCAAGAAGAATTTTTGGAACTATAGATACTTCGGATAATGAAGCCAAGCATTTTATACGAGTGATTTTTGATTTCTTAAAAAAGTAGCTTAAAAATAAAATGACTATCAAAGATGATGCCAAGATCCAAAATGATCTATTTGTTAAATCTAATCAATAATAAATTCTATATGAGATCAAATCATATGGTGATGTGAATCATGAATCCAAATGATCTGAAATGACCAAACTTCATTAAAACGTGTGGTGATTAGTGACCGTTAATCGATATTTATTTAGAAATCGTGAGATGCAGTCTGGTGTGATGTAGGTTTCAGAAAAACATTTTCTTTATCGTGCCAACGTTTCGATCTTTATTGAGATCATCTTCAGGGCCTGGGATTTACAAACATTGTTTACATATTACAATTACATTTTGGATGTAGAAAAGTAATTGTAAATTGTATAAATTCACTTTTCCACATCCAAAATGTAATTGTAATATGTAAACAATGTTTGTAAATCCCAGGCCCTGAAGATGATCTCAATAAAGATCGAAACGTTGGCACGATAAAGAAAATGATTTTCTGAAACCTACATCACATCAGACCGCATCTCATGATTTCTAAATAAACTTCATTAAAACATAGGCCTCAATCAAATTTGCTTTTTCATCAACGTGTTATGAACAGTTATCAGGCCAAGAAAATTTAACAAAACCCATTTGAGAATGAACGTTAGGTTTCTTTCCTAGGAGGAAGATTTAAATTGATGTATTATTAAATTCATAATTATTATTTGGCTTGATTTTAGTACCAATAGTTATCTATGCTACAGATTCTAAATTTGTGAGTCATTCACAAAAACAAAAATAAAAATGCTTATAAATTATTTTGAATCACGTTAATTTAATTAGCCAAAGGTAGTGGGTTCGAATCCCATCATCTCAACCAAGACCTTAGATAAAAAGTATAATTAATAGGGCCAATTATGACTGCTAAACTATATGGATTAATATATTAATTTAATTACTTTGAAAAGATAGTTCTTTCTCACATTTTGTTGTTTTCTATGATCCGAATTTCGAGCATTAAACGCTCATCATTAGAGTGAAGGAGTTATAAACACATCCCTCAACTTGAATTGTAAGAGTCTGTCACTAGAGTCAGGATGTCTAATAGTCTATTCTTAAAATTCATGACAAGAGAGGTGTTTGTAACACCTTCAACCTGATGATGAGTGTTTTAATACTTGAAATCTGGATTGTTGAAACCAACAAACTGTAAGAACTATCCACAGCCACTGGCAATGTTGGGACTGAGTTGGTCTTCTAGAAAAATTGAGATCACTTATAAAAAACTTAAATATGTCAATGGGTAGACATATTTAAGATTGTTTTACCCTGATGATGACATTAAAATAAGTCAAAAGCTCGGCAGTAACTAACGAACTTTACTTTCTTCTTTTAAACCATTCTACCAGAGGGTTGAGGAGAACTATTTTTTAAATTAGTTGAACAATTTAACTATCTCACCCCACCTTTATCATTTCAGTTAATTTAATTTATGTATGGCTATAGATAGAACTTCAATCATCAACCGTCAAACAACTTCATAAGAGGTTGACATATGAACACTTTTGAACCAAAGTCATATGTGTCCTTGATATAAATGCTTTGTGCTAGATGCAAAAATGCTTCATTGCATGTTTTATTGCACATGCGTTTTTGTTTTTATCCTGTGTTCTTATTCTAATGCTTGTTATTTTAGAAAAATAATTAATCAACCAATTAAGTTTAATTACTTAATAGTTTAGAATCATATTATGATGTATATGCCAATGAACGAGCTATTTCAGCCATACTGTCATTTGTTAAAAAATAAATAAATAAGAATAGTTGAACATAAAATTTGACCATAAATTGTTAGAAACATAGTGCTGTTTATTTCAAGTTTAGATTTCTTGTAAATAGTGAAAAAAAATCAAAAGCTCCCAGCAGTCAGTTTATATTTCAAAACAAAACAGGCCATTTCGATTTTGTGGCTGTGGTCAGCTCCACCACCACATGAACTGTACAATACCAAACTCGCCGTCGGAAGAGAAAAATACAAACTTGACAAAAAAATATATCATCCTAGAAAAATGATCATTCTCACTCGATTAAGAGTAGGGCATGCAAGGTTGACACGTAATCCTTTTGGGGCAAAGCCGTATTTGTCCCCAAAGTAGATGCTTTATGCTAGATGCAAAAATTCTTTATTGCAGATGCGTTTTTGTTTTTATTCCTGTGTTCTTTATATTCTAATGCTTGTTATTTTCGAAAAATAATTAGTCAATCAATTAAGTTTAATTACATAATATGTTTAGAATCATATTATATATGTATATGTATATGAACAAGCTATTTCAATCATACTGTCATTCGTTAAAAAATAAATAAAATAAGAATAGTTGGGTAAATAATTTGACCATAAATTGTTAGAAACATATTGCTGTTTCAAGTTTAGCTTTCTTGTAAATAGTGAGAAAAAAATTAAAAGCTCCCAGCAGTTAGTTTATATTTCAAAACAAAACAGGTCATTTTGATTTTTGTGGCTGTGGTCAGCTCCACCGCCACACGAACTGAACAATACCAAGCTCAACTTCGGTAGAAAAAAAAAATCGACTGATCGTTTCTCAAGTTGTTTACGAGTCGAGCACCAAGTCCGGAAGAGGCTGTTGTCAGGCAGGATTCCATCGCCTTGCCTGACAACACCTGACCGGTGACCGCCCTTCGTCGGACAGGTAGCTGGCCCAGCTTTGGCCAACCGTCGCCAGTGGCGTCTGCCTTGAATTTCATTTCGGTTCTGTTGTTCTCGAAATGTGTGATTAGGACATTAGGTAGATAGTTACGAACACTGCTCTTCGCTCAGGTCGATTCGTCAAGTCTCGCTTTGACCAGTATCACAAGTCCGAGTCTGACTTCTCGTCCGAGCGATCCGACTCAACCGTTTAGCCCTTTGCGTACTTTTCGACCAGTTATCTCTTTTTTTCCCCTCGGTTTTGAAAAAAAAAATGAGCTTGGCTCCTCTATAAGCTAATTAAAAACCAAGGTGAGGAAGAGATTAAAACAAACACACACACATACACTCGTACAAAAAAAGAAGACTATAGAATAGGAACAATGGCGAGTTGTTGGGTTGTATAGTGAAGTTTACGACATTCCCAGAGTTGCATATAAGAAAATCTCAGGTAAGGCTCAAACAACTTCTTACTCTGTTAAGCACTTAACTTTAACCTTTCTCAACCGTATCTCATTGATCTTAATAAGGTAAAGATAACGTAGCTCTTTATTTAATATTTTCCCTTTTTTTTTGTTTTAAACCATTGTCCTTGTTTTCAAGCCTTTATTCCATTGTATTTATAGACCTTTCAGCATGATATTCGTGCATCCTGCAACTATTTCCAAACCTTTTTTTCAGTTCTTAACATTAAGCCTTTTAAATACTTTATCTATTTACTTGTTTTATTTAAATTTGCATCATAACAGGAATTTAAAAAGGAAGCAAGACAAACTCAACAAACGGATCTTTAGGTAGTAAAAATTTTGTTTAACTCACGACTAAAAAGTAATAATTGATGAATTAAAACAAATTAATATTTCAAACTTTAATCAGGCCTGAAATAAAATCTTTCTGTAATATGTAACAATTTATAAACTTTCACACAAAGACAAAAGCTTAAAACTTATCGACAAAGGAATTTTTCTAAAAGTTATTTTTTGGCCTTGTATGTATTGAATTAATATTAAAATCAAACCTATAAGTTTTTAGCTAATGAAACAAGCTTAATACTCATCAACAATTTGATCTAATTGATTTTTTTTTCTTGCCTCATGGCAGAAAATGTCTCCATTATGAACTAAGATATTTAATGTTTCAATCTTAGAGAAAGAACTTTGATCAACTGTTTTCTGCTAAAATAATCTACCCTTGTAATTCATAAATTTTCTATCAAACAAAAAAAGCACAATATTCATCATTCAAGCTAGATGATCTTTTGGCCGTGGTAGTAATTTTTGCCTCATGGCAGGAAATTTCTCTACTTTGAACTAAAAAATTTAATTTCTATCAGGTGAACTACATGAATTCCTATAGGATATAATCCAATGTATGTCATAATAATGTATAAATTTTCAGCCATTGAAGCAAGCCTGAAACTTATAAATTCACATAACATTGGGTAATAATAGTTTTTCTCCCCATCAGGGTTTAAAACGTGTCACTTGGGAACTCAAAATTGAAAAAGCCATGCTTAAAACTTAACAATATACGGCTGTAAAAGTTGTTTTTGATATCTTGCATGAAAATGTTGCAATGATAAACAACAAAATTGACTATTTTAATTTCAATTGGACCCAAATTCAGTTCTATACTATAGCAATTTATAAATTTTTAACCGATAAAAGTTATTTTTTAGCCTCATAGGTAAAATTAATGAATTAATGTTAAGATCAAATCTCTTAATTTTTTATCAAAACTCTCAATACTTACCAACATATTGATCTTATTGAATGTTTTTGTTACCTTATGGCAAAAATGTCTATTGTGAATTAAGAAATATATTCAATCTCAGTTAGGAATGAACTTCATCAACTGCTTTCTGCTACAATAATCGACGATTCATGAATTTTCTGCAAAGAAACAAGCACAAACTTCATCAGTAAGTTGTCTTTTGGCTGTGATTGTTATATTTGCCTCATGGCAGGAAATTTCTCTACTTTGATCTAAGAAATTTAATTCTTATCAGAGGAACTCCATGAATTCCTGTAGGACATAATCCAATCTAGGTCTAAATAATTTATAAATTTCCAGATTGAAGTAAGCCTGAAACTTATCAATAGACATAATTTTGGACAATAATAGTTACTTTGTGTCAGGGTTTAAAATATTTCACTAGGGAAATCAAAATTGTCAAAACAAGCAACATGTATCGATTTTTAGGCTGTAAAAGTATGTTTTTTTTGGTGTCATGGGTTAAAATGACTGAATGATAAGCTAAAAAATTTGCTTTTTCTATCTTCATTTGAACCACAATCAATTCTATACTATAGTAATTTATCTATTTATTAATGATTATTTGGCGATCGTGAGATGCGTTCGGGTGTGACGTAGGTTTAGAAAAACATTTTCTTTATCGTGCCAATGTTTTGATCTTTATTGAGATTATCCTCAGGGCCTGGGATTTATAAACATTGTTTAAATTAGACAGTTACATGTAGGATGTGAAAAAATGAATTTATACAATGAACAATTTATACAAAGAAATTTTAGACTCAATCAAAGCATACTCATTTGTACACTTTCTCTACTTTGATTGAGTCTAAAATTTCTGTATAAAAAAAATTCGTTGTATAAATTCATTTTTTCACATCCTACATGTGTTTGTACAATTTAAACAATGTTTATTAATCCCAGGCCCTGAAGATGATCTAAAAAAAAGATTGAAATGTTGGGACGATAAAGAAAATATTTTTCTAAACCTATGATACACCAGACCTCATCTCACGATCTCTAAATAATCATTAATTAATGCCACTAAACACCACATATACCTATTTATTAATTTTTAGCCGAGGAAACAAGATTAAAACAGCTAATGTTTGGTGTTGTTATTCCATAAAAGTTATTTTGGCAAATTTTATTTTTAGTTATTTTTAGACCCACAGCAAGGATATTTTTTTAGTTTCTATGGCTTAGTCATCCAGTATAATTTACAAAATAAAAAAATAATTAAATTTATCATGACCGAAATCAAATTTTCATGGGGCATTTGAGGAACAAGCTTAAAATCTGTAATGTAATATAACTTTTGATTTTGTTTTACATATCAACTGAAAACTGCAGTTTTTCACATCATTAGTCATACCATTTAATTAACGAAACTAAATTTTGTAAACATTATTTGTACGGATCAATATCATAGTTTCATATTCAGGGGTCAATGAACCATGTGGAATACCTTTAGACCAAAATAGTTACTATTCATTTTTAACAAAGGAAATGAGCTTAAAATTGATCAAAATGGGGATTTTGAGCTGTATTAGTTGTTTTTGAGCTTTAGATTGAAAATGTATACTGAACAACCAAGAACTTTGACCTTTGGACATCAATGATCATTAAGTTTAACACAATTTTTCTTTTTTTAATTGTTTTTAGTGCTGTCACTCATTGCCATAGAACATCTATTAATAAATTCTGGGGAATGAAATCTATGAATCCTCTAGACCACAATTAAATTTCTACTATAATGATTGAAAAAAGTTATAAACACTGTTCATTTTTGTTGTCTTATCTGTAGCCATCCAGTCGAATAACGATTTTTTTTTTGCACTTACTGTGAGTAGGAACTACCTTTTTAAAAAGATTGAACAACACACTCACTCCACCATTTATTATTTCCACCATTAAAATTATCTAGACTATAATCTCTACTGCTGTAATTTATTATTATTGAAGGAAAAAAATCTTAAAATAGTTAGCAAAAACATTTTCAGATAATAAAATGTAAGTTTGTTGAGGATGGCCGTGGGTTTATAATTCTTTGGAGTTTAATTGGGATCAGTCCGGAGTGAAGTGGAGAAGAAAACCAAAACAATTCCCTTCATATCCTGACGTTTTAAGATTTTATTGACTCTTCTGAGGTACTTCTACATGTGTTTTTCCCCCCAAGTGGATTGTTTTGGTTTTTTTTCTCCACGTCACTCTTGACTGTTCTCTATAATACTCCAAAGAATTATATAAAATATCTTAAAATTGTTCAAACTTAAAAATCATTAACAATAATTTTAGGCTACAAAAGTTATATATGCCTCTATGCCTCATATCTTACTGAGTAATTAAGAAATTTGAACTTTTGTTGTCATTAAATTATGTAAAATATATTAAAAAAATCAATGTCATTAGATTTGAATAAGTGAAGATCAATATATTTTAGTAATTTGTACATTTTCACCCATAGTTAAAAATGCCTAAAACACATTAGTAGCTTGTAGAATTAATAAAAGATATGGTTGAATAATTATTCCTCCAAAGTAACAATCATCATCTGTCTATCATTAAAGAAATATGAAAAAGAAAATATAATAATTCTTGCGCTTGTCAGTGTGTGCATGTTTGTTTTTGAATTGTTGAACAAATTTGAATTAACTGAAGTTGATTTGATCTCTTAGTATAAATTTATCTTTCTGAAATGTTTCAACTTAAGTCTTTCTCGTCTTAAGTTTTAAAATTAGTTATTTGCACATATTTCAAATATTCAAATTCAAATCGTTCATAGGTTCAATGGATAATTTTGTGAAACAAACTACTAATAATAATTTAAAAATAACAAACCTGAAAATAACATTAAATTGACCATTAAAGGGAAAGGTGTTATTTTTTATCCCCTTGGCTAAAAATGTCTCATTGAGGCACAATGAAACTTGATCTTTTAATACCTATAGCCTTACAGTCAAATTGACCTAAAAAACAAATAATTTTTATACTATTTTTTTTTATTTTGTATGTTTGTGTTGTCATAGAATAAGGTAAACTTTAAATTTGCCTATGTGTTAATTGTGTCACACGAATGTTCTCCGTGTGTAAGAAAAGAGTGAATGTGTGATATTTGTTTGATTTACAAGATATGATAAAACGACGATTCACCGTTGAGATTACAAGGCAGTTGTCATGTAACGACCACGACTTATAGAAGGAGTATGCAAGGAAAATCTTTTGCGTAGAATGGAACTTTTCAAAGTAGAACAAATTTTCCAGCTCCTTTGATCTTATAACAAATACTTTTAATTCGCAATTATAACAATATTCTTTAATTTAATCCACTTCTTAATAAAATGCTCAGCAGTCTTAAATCATGCAATACTGGTCACTAAATTAAAAATATTCAAAATAAAACTAGGAACAATTTTTTCATCTGAATATTATTCGAGTCCGTTTTAGATTAACAGAAGAGAAAAAATTGTTGATTTCACCTTGTTTTACAAGATAATTATAATTTTCTCATTTGATGCAATATCACTTGAATAGTCAAATGAACAAGTTTTTAAACAAACTCAAGTCAACAAAAATAAAACGTTTTGATCTTTAATTATTAAAGATCAATTTAAAAACAGTCAATTTCTCTTTTCTTTTTTTTCTAGAATATTAGTCAGCTAGTATTTATAGGTTCTTTTTCAGAGTGAGATAGCTTTT